TATTACCAGGCAACATCCATAAAACATAATATGCATTACGTACATTATGTGTAGACGGTACGATGTAAAGGAAAAGCTACAAGTAACTGGCTGCTGCGTACACGTACGTGCACGAAGGATATACTTGACGGGGGGGACAACTGCGTATCTCCGCTGGAGTCGTCGCGCGCACGCATTACACACGCGCTCGCGATATATATATGCCTTATACATAAGCAGTTAAGCTCGAAGAAAATCCAGTCACATATTCAAGAGGATAGGCCAAGTATCTATGTCTCAGTCGCTGCCGCACTCGAGTTCTCTTAATATAACGAGCGAAATGCCAGGCGCGTATATGATGCACGCAGAACCATCTGCTGCTGCCGCCGCCTGTATAAAGCCCTGCGCATACTCTTGATGCAGAAGCTAACGCGCCATGCCGTTCTCTATGCACCCTGTGCGCGCCCTATATCTATACACAGACGTACTCTTGCTCTTAGTCCTATCTCTCTCTCTCTCTCTCACTCTAGCACTCGGCTCGCGTGTGCAGGCGCCTTTAATGAAATTACAAAAGTTTGAAGTTTATGGCAACAGATGCAACTACCACCGATATAAAATTGACTTTTTTAACTGCCAAGTTATGTACTGGATGCCGCTTCCGCCGCGCGCTCATCTGAATGCTCGGGAGATGGAGAATTTAAGATTTCACGCGCTAGTTCGAAAATCAATATGCTATCTGCAGCTCTCTCGCAGCCTCTCAGCTCGCGCTCGGCATTACCATCCGACTTTTTCCTGATCTACACGCGGTGTGTCTATGTGTATATATGTGCACGTTTTTTCGCATGAAATTTTAATGCAAGTTCGTCTATATCTATTTCGTCTCAATGGGATTTTTGACAAGGTTTATGAATATTATAAAAATACCCATATACATTGGCAGTATTCAGAATGGTATTGAGTAATGAAAAAAATTCCAATTCCAGCAATCGATTCGGCACTCGGAATGGTATATAATAGGCAGAAATAGCGACGGATTTCCGATTTAACAAAGCATGGGTGAAAGTTAAGCCGCGAGCCCACATGGTTCAATCGGTCTTTTTTTTAATGACAATACGAGCAATGCATGTGTACCTACGTATACATTTACAAGGTAGAACTGCACGCGCACATACTCGTACACACCTTATCGCGTGAACCACATCAAAGCATTACATTGCGTTGCATAAACGCCACCGTCGCAGCCACACCACGTCGTACGCCACTGTGTGATTCGCTCGGGTATAATCGTCGACCGCAAACTTTAACGACAATGGAATTTTGCTTTCTTTCTCTTTCGCTCTCTCTTTCACTTGTGCACTCGTTACTTCATCCCATCACTGATAAAAAGACTAGCAGTCGCTTTGGAATCTTTGCATTACATAATTTGTGTTTAATGTACTTTTATACTTGTTTGCTCTGAACAATAAAAACTCAAATTAAGCGTGTCGTTCCCTCTAGCTGGAATGTCTTTGAAGAGGATTATCGCGTCGCGTATCATTTCAACGACATACGTACGCTTTTTTGATCATTTAAATTTCATGTAGTAAAATTTGAGAACTTACATCTATTTTGCATACGAGCAATCTCGCAGATTCACGAAAAATATATCGTTAGCATATGCTACTACATGTGTGTGAGTGTATTTTTGTACGTGTGTGTGTGTGCATGTGTGCGGGGTCGCTGAGTTAGTAGTGCGGACGCAGGCTGAATAGTTAGCAGTGGAGCTACTCCCACGCTGTTAAAGTCCTTCCTTTATGTTATATTCAGCATGTAGCTAATGCTTTTACGGACATGTCAAAAACCGCACTCGCTCTCTCAAGTTCATTTATTTAATAGACTTTTTCTCTCGGTGCTTCCTTAACTTTCTGCTTGCCATTCGCTGTTTGTGAAAACTTCATTAGTTACTTGTACAAAAAATGGCACGTTTTCTCTTATGCTGGATTAGATTTTAAAAAGCTCCAGTGATTTTATTTATCCTGAAAATAGAATTGCAAAAAATCACCTTGCTAAATACCATTTGACAATTTGACAAATTAAAACTTGTCACAAACGCTACCCATACTTTTGATCGAGGAATATGAGTGCGCGCGGTATATGAAAGCGCGCGTTAGTGTGTGTAGGTCGCATTTGAAAAACAGCAGAGACAAAAGTTGCGCATAATCCCCATTACAAACAGGCCGAGCAGTTAAAAGAAAGAGCGTATATTACATCAGGAGTATAAAACACTTAAGCATAAATGCTCAATGCCCTGGAGTTGTTGAACGGAAATGCTCTTTCCGTTTTCATCTTTCGCGGGCTACAATTTGCCTCTTTTAAAGACTTAAGTAGGATCAAGGCTGACGAGGCTCGCTAGCTCCCTTTCTCTCTCTCTCCCACTCTCTCTCTCTCTCTCTCTCCTTCGCGTCGACTTTAAACGCTGCAACTTGCCGCTGCCACCGCCACTACCCCTCGCATTATATGAAATCTCTGGTCAAAGAGAAAAGAGTAGAGTACCTTTAACGTTTAAACGAAACGAGTTTAAAAAAAGATAAAAAGGCCCTCACGTGTGCCATCATCGAAAATCAAAGAGAAGCCTGCTTGCGGTTAAAAAAAAGGAATATGTGCATGCAAAGATAAGGAAAAGTAAAGGGTATCCCGCACGAAAATGAAATTTTGCTCCGTCTAACAGGCTTGCGTTAAGTCGTTACAGCCCCGGGTGTGACTATAGCAAGGGCAGAGAAACAAGGAAAAAAGATTAAACGCAAAGAACGACGAGAGTTGGGGAAAAAAACGACATACATAAGAGGCTGAAATTCCAGTGCTACACAACTTTTATGTATGTGTGTGTATGTGCGTGTATAAATGTATAAATATACACATACGAAGTGGCAGTAGTGGTGGCGGTGGTGGCGGTGGCGGTATATAATAGATATATGTCTATGGGAGGCCACAAGCTACTAGTAATAGTTGCTCTCTTAGGAGTAGGTAGCCGAGTGGCGGGCAGACTGCAGAGGTATATGCTTGCTGGAGAAGGAAAATTCGTCGTTAAGAAAGTCACTTTCGTGAGTGAGAGAGAAAGAGGGAAAGAGAAGAGAGCAAGCCTGCCTCGAATTGGCCGTTTAATATTCAACGTCGAGGTGCTTTAATATTCAGCACGAACCGACCTACATTCCGCAGCACATTCGCATCCCGACCTCTCCCGCGCGCTTACCCCCTACACAAGGACGCCCGCGCGTGAGAGACGCCACCGTTGCCTCGCTATTCTCATTCTTTCTTTTCTCTTTTTCTTGACTCGATCTATCGCAGCCGTCGTGCTTTGCATTTTCTTTAGTTTCCTTTTTCTTTTCTCCCTACTCCTCCTCTTCCTCCTTCTCCTCTCTCTCTCTCTCTCTCTCGCACGTTTTTTTGTTGTCTTCAGCTATTGTTCTGTGCGATGCCCGGAAAACTTTTTTCTTTGATACTGCTGCTCTTCTGCTCCTCTTCCTCTTTCCATTGATTCTTTATCGTCTTTTGCACGTTGTACGCCCAACATCTTTTTAATGCCTTGACACCACTCCACGTTTTGCTTTTATCATTCATGTTATTGTCCTGAAAAGTGACTTGCATATTCGACTATGCTTGATGAGTCTAGCTGATTAGCCATTTAATACCATTATTCCCTTTCGATTTTATTAATATCATTAAGAGCTACTCCCTCCTACAAACAATTGTCCATAGGTGATCAGAAATTCAAAAATAGAATATTTTTAGTCTAAATTAAAAGAGTTGAGAATAGAATAACGACCTAGAAGTATAACACTTAGTACATTTTTCAAGTTTGTACGTAATCGTCGTTACCTCCTGAAATCCTATGCTCGAACAATTGCGTTAGTTTATTTCACGTCTCTCGATGCAAGTGAGCTTTATGTACGTACTATGAGAATACAAAATGAAAACTTTAAAATCAATTATGTCTTTTACCATTACTCGTTATTCCTCTTTACCAACTCTGTAATGAAAAACTTAAGTCCGCAATACCTTTATTTCTTCATGTATTTTTTCGTATATTTTCAAGTCTAAAGCGGATTATACGATTAAATAGACTTAATAAGTAAATTAACGAAATCAGCTGTCATTTTTTTCTTTCTCATTTCTCGCTTCTTCTACTTACATTTATGTGTGACCTGAGCCTCTTGCGCATTTTTTTGAAAGACGAACTGTTTCTGTTACTTTCGCGAGCAAGCGAACTATAAATCTTGGGGGAAAATCTATAAATCGATAACCTCGTAGCTCAAAGTTCCTTTCGATAACACCTTAGCAAAAAAAAATGCAACTTGTGCGCCACAGCTTTAGAAGATTGAGTTATGAAAAAATTGAATTCTGAGCTAAATGCATTTTGTAAATATTGAAACATCAAGCTCGCAAACGTGAATTAAATGTACATCATGACCCAACAAAAAAAACAATATTAGATATACCATTTCTAACAGTTTTATCATCTATTTGAACGAACTATAATTGATTACTCTTGTCACGCAAGGTGTGACATGAAATCGGTTACTTTTCAAAACAATTAATATTGAAATTCGAAATCTGTGCACCAAGATAATAGACCCTCGATTAAAATTCATCAAGATGAAAATAATGCGTATAACATAACATAAGTTAGTTACTATCTAAAGCAACATTAAAATTTAGAAATCATTTTGCCCGAGTTTGCGGCTGGTATCAACGTTCCGAAAATGTGTACACCACCTGGATGCTATAGCTAAATTGGTTAACTCTGAATATTACGATACATAAACTAATTTTTGATAAATACAAAACACTTGAAAATGAAAATGAAGAAAAAATGTAACATTACTTTTGTATTATGACAATATCAATTAATAAAGTGAATAGTATAATAACTCGATCACTCATCATTACATGTAACTTGAAATTCTCTTCAGTCGAGTGAAAACGAACTATCAGTTACGCGTTTCATGACATTACACTCTCATGACTTTCTTTGTGTGTTACAGTTCAGCCTACTTCGGTGAGAGTAATCGACGAAAGTACGAAGCAAACTCTGGAAGATGGTCGAGTATTAGGTCCAGTAATCGAGGGTTCACCAATTGCCTTGAGATGTGAAAGCGGCAAAGGACGGCCAGTACCAATAGTCGAATGGTACAATGGCGACGTTCGACTCAAATGTAAGATCATATAAATTCTATCCTTTTCAATCAGCCCTTATAGCGATCCGTCAGCAAAGACTTTGTGTCTATTATTAGTCTAGACTTGCACCTTTTAAATAATCTTAATGTATTAAATCGAGAAAAAAGAATATTTTTTTTTTACTGTCAATTTAATATCTTTCAAAGAAACGAGCATAGTGCGCTTATAATTATGTCGGGCGTAAAAAGCAGCAAAAGTAATCTCGGAATTCCGCAATGACCAAGTATAAAAGGTCGAATTCATCCATTAGTTCTTGCAATAGAGCAAACCAGCCGTAGTTTTGACAGAAACTTAAAGCTAACATATCTCGATTTTGCCGTAGCTGAAAGTTCATTAGAGTTGGAAGAACACGAAATTGGCACAGGAAGTGGCACCCTGAATCTTGTGGTCGCTCGCAGTGAATTAGGCGCTACTTTTACTTGCAAAGTTAGCAGTTTGGCCCTCGCTGAACCATTGAAAATCGACATTAAATTGGACGTTCATGGTGAGTTGAAAATTTTCTTTTCAGTCTTTACAATGTCTCCAGAATATTTGGCGTGTAGCTTTTACGTTACATCCGAAAACCTTTCTGTGTGCGGTTATATTTTTTAAAAGTTTGAACCACTGTGTCGCGTGTTTTCTTTAATAAACCGAATCATTTCGACTCGTCTTTTCTAGCTGCGAAAATATAACACACTAATGCAACTAAAGCAGCGAGCAGCATTATAGCTGCATTATTAAGACTTAGTATCGCTTACCGTTTCTAAATAGACGAACGAATGAATAGATCATTAATACATGCTTTGAGCTCGTCCTGAGCTTTCGCGAACAGACTCTGGATCCTGAAAATACGGACGTGCAAATATGCCTTGTACATCAACGGGCTAAATCAGCGTAACGCCCGATGAGTCCCTAGTGGCCCTTAATGAGAGCAGCAGCATTGCCGGTAATATCGACTTGCTAGGTGCGTCTAGGTGAATGTGTACGGCTATGTTCCCGAGATCCACGTGTATTCGCGCATAGTCGACCATCGCATGCAGCGAGAGTAAAGCTCTAGAGAACCCAAGTTCCTTGCTCGGTGTGCACCTTTCATCAAACTTTCGAGTCTATGCGCGTGCTAAGCGCATTCTCCCCTACCGTTACCGGTTCTCTCTTTTTCTTATTCGTGTACACATGCAAAACACACCAAGAATACTGAACACACTGATACCTGCTTCGCCTAAAAAGATGATTTTCCCCACTGAGCTTTTCACACTCATCGGATATGTTCTTCAACATTTTATGCCTCCGTAATTATTAAGAGGATACTTTTTAAAAAATGCACTCAAATTAATAACTTCAAATGGAAGTTTTTGTTGAAAATGTTTAAATATGTTTTAAAAAGATGCTTTGAATTTCGTAACTCAAGAGCATATGCTTGACTGTAAAATTAATTTCGCTCAAAATGAAACTACAATTTGATACTATTATTTCCATGTATTCAAGTAATACATGATAAAGTAAATTCTGCTATTAACACTTATATTGCATTAACATGTATTTTAGGGAGATCGATTTCTAATAAACTATTTATTCCTTGAAAAACCATGGAATGCGAAGGGGATACTCATGCTAAGAGAGAATATTAAAAATTGTTATTTTTACTAGAAAAAGATATACGGAGTAAAACTACAGTAATCTTTGTTGAATCGTATAATAATGTACAGAATATAGTATGATAAAACTTATCATTTTCTGTATTCTTTATGAAAAAGCCTTCATGATTTCACTCTACACAACTTTTCCCAACAAACATAACAATGTTTACTATATGCCTACTCTCAGTGCACGAATAATAAATTATTGTATTATTTATTAATATTCTTGCAAAACAATTGCAATTAACTAGTATATAATCTATTCATCATCATTATTAATTATTATCAAATACATATTGAGTGATCCTCGTGAAGATGACAATTAAAAAACAATAAGTAAATTATTGGAATTATGGTCAAAACTTTTATCAGTACATCCAACGAAAAATCCTTGTTTTCTAATATATTTTGAGATAATGCTAATTTTTTTCTATCGCAGTGAATAATGAAATAATTATATTCACTTTTTTTTATAACGTTGAATATTGATTACTTGTAATAAAAAGTTAAAATAAAATGGTATTTATTCACAACATTTTTAATTTACTTCACTTTTTTATGGATACGATACCGAAGCCCGTGTAAAAAAATGTACACAATATTTAAATTTAAATTGGACAACGCAGACCAAAGTAATGCGAAAAATTTCAGTTATTAAACGTTGATCGATACATTAATTGAAAGACTGAAAAATTGTTGCATTACTATCAAGAGTGCTATAATAGAAATGGTCTCTGCACCATTTAGTGCTTAAAATCTAGTAATGATGTTTTTGCTTAAAATACATAGTAGCATATTGTGCATTTGTTTAATCATTCTTTTTTCGTTCACTACGATACATAGTGAACAACCTCTTGGGCTTCTCTCGAATTTTTTGATCTTCTTTTTCTCTTTCGTTTTCGTTTGTCTCCTGCACTCGAGATCCATACACACCCGTACACACCATTATCTTTTCTCTGTCTGTCTCCAGAGCACTTTGAATCATGTTTTTTAACCTCAAGCTCTTTGCTTCACCAGAAAAGTATTGTCACTTTCTGTGATAAATTGTCTTCAAAGTTTTATTTATTCGCAGGACTTTTATCCTTTTTTCATTTATAAATCATACATTATCGTCTTGTGATAAACATCTTCAGAAAATAAATTATTAAAAAGTTTACATTATTTAAATTTTTCATCATTGAAGAAAAATTATACGTTTTTAAAAAATAATTAATTATGTTCATGTAAAATTCAAAAATTTAGTAAAAATTTCAGATTTCTTTCTTCAGTGAAGAACTTCGTATCGGTGTCGGATATGATACCCAGTGTTTTTATAGAATGAAAAATGATTAAAATATGCTTTATTTTTAATTTTTTTACTGCTTTTTTTACGTGTGACCACACAATTAAAAAACTTTGGACTCGTTTTTCTCGAAACAATATTTATCGAAACTGCTGTACAGAAATCTTGGAAAATTAAATAGATATTGAGTGGTAATTTTTAATACAGCTTTAAAATACAATTTTCAAGGGAATATTTAGTTATTTTTCAATTGTATCATTTTATCCACGTTTTATAGGAGCCAAAAAAAATATCTGATCATTGAAAAAAGTTTTTTTCAATGTACTGAGTACAATAAATTTATCTGGAGAACGATAAATTATTGACTACATCAATTATCAATTTGAGAAATGCTCTATCTAGATTTGAATTGTATGATATTCTTGTTTGCACACATATTTTTTTCAATAAGATTATATTTTTTATCAAACATCATCAAAACAGCTTAAAACCTTACCGAGCACATTCCCAACCTGCGTTTTTCACGTACTTATTCAACGTTTAGCTCTTGAGTGATTGTTGACTTGAAAAAAATCTCGCTAAGGATCTTTTTTTTCAATACTCAAGTAAACGCTATCAAGATTTTTCCATCCTATTTGAGCGTTAAAAGCTCCAAAGTCGCGAAGGCTTTACACTGTGGTCCTTGAGCGTTGATAGAGCTTTTTAATGGGTCGTGGAGCTAGGATAGAGAAATGTATACTATACTTATATATCTGAGCTTGGATGTGTGTGTGTGTGGATCGAACGAAGGTGAGAGTAGTAGGAGAGGGACGTAATTCTGGATCTGGTAGATCGGAGAGTCGAATCAGGATAGGGTGTGGAGGAGAGGCTCACACAAAAAAAGCCGTAAATCTGTGCGAAGAAAAGGAAGGAGGGAGACAGAGAGAAAAAGAAGTTAATCAAATCTCAGCGCTTAAACGCCGGAGCAGTGTACGCCCGCGCGAGGAGGAAGAAGAGCGTGCCAAGCCCTCGCGGGATTCCTAAACCAAGACTATTTTCTGCTGCAGCTCGGAGATTCAACTTCGACCTACTTTTTTCTTTACTTGCGCCACCCATCTCTATCTTACGCGTCTCTCTTTTTCGCCTCTGCGTGTACGCTGTTTTCTTTTTCTCTTCTCGTGCGTATATATATTCTTGTAAATGTGTACACCTGCATCAGTTTCGCGGAGCGAGCGTCAGCGTTTCCATGCACATATCTACTCTGGTAATACTATTACGAGCTTGGCTCTTTTTCGCAAGCTTCCATTTTATTAGCTCATTATCCGTCGCTAGACAGAAAAAATTGATTTTACACCGAGTCTCGTGTTCTCTAATCCAGCAGAAGTCACGCGTACGTAAATTCTTAATAAAATTCGATTTTATCTCTGATGTGTATAGCAATGCTGTTGCTACGTAGTAAATTCAACGCTATACTAGGGAGTGATGCGCATCCGTCGAGTAAATTCGAAGCTCGCTCCATGATATCTCAAAGAAAGGCACTCGACAGTTCTGTTAAGCAAGAGAGAAAACTCGTTTCTTCTTTGAGAGAAGTCGAGCTGTCCCCGGTACATGCTCTCAGGCTCCCCGAAGCCAATCAACCCTACATGCATGCAGCAGGTAAGCGCATACACTTAACAGAATCATGGGCTTGACTGCAAAAGCTTAGCTTGTCGCGCATGCTGGCCCATATTCTCGCAGAATGGCTAGGAACACAGACCGCGTACTTGGTCATGTTTCGGCGCTTTATACAAGTGAATTTCGTCTCTCGGGTTGCATCAATTTATGTTTCAGTGGCAGCGCTACGGCTGCCCAACCGCAGAAAAACAACCGTTGGACGTACGAGCTTACGAGTCGAAATGAAAGCAAAAAAGTATTACGGGTCATAAGATAAATTTCGCGCCTCCATTCCCACGAGCTCTCACTGCTCGTGCGCGCTTGTAACAGTTTGCTCGCTCGCTCGCTTGCACGCACAGCTGTCGGGCTTTGCCAATCTAGCTCTCTATGCTCGCGCAGGGGATAATACATGCCTGCCAGGCTCGGTCTTGGGAAGCTGCATTCGGGCGCTCGCGAAGATATGCGAATGATTTGCGAGGGATATCATACGCCGTTCTCGCTGTTGCTTACAGTGCCGTCGCGTAACCGATTCGCCGAGGATTTTCCACAAAAGAGCTTATTCGTACGTTTTCTCCATCTGAATATTAAAGATAAAGTAAAAAAGGTTGGCTACGAGAGAGCTCGTAACGTAAGATGCCTGTGTATGAGTCTTAGCGCTCGTCTACAAAAGTTTCGAATGTGCATCAATCGGCGTTGAGGGTTTTTGGATTTAGACTGAAAGTTTTCAAATGTACAGGAAAGTTTGATGAGCTCGTAATTCCGTATTAAATTACTTTGAAAATTTTTTTGTGCTAATCAATTGGAGGAAATTGTGTTAACTGTGCCTAAGATATTCGATTTTTCTAATAAAAAAAAAATAATATCTTGAAGAAAAATTCTTGAAAAGTTTTTACCATGGCTTCGGTATACTTCTAATAAACATAAAATTGTTATAAATTTTTTTACTCGAGTATTTTCATGCACTATAACTATAAAACAAATTCGTATGATGAATTCAAATCACTTTGAAAAAATGTCTCACCTATAGTGGACTATTTTTTCAATATCAAATGCTTCCCGAGTAGAAAGGGTACTGCGAAACGCGAGTTTTTAATTTAAAAGACAAAAAAATGGACTAAGGCAATGATTTACAATTCAATGGCCATGCCGTTGGTACGACAAGCCCCCGCAAGCTATTCGCGCGTTTATCGTGTAGATATAGATTTTCCCACTTTTCGGATTAATGCAGAGTCAGGTAGATTAACGTATGATATATTACGCAGACAAAAAACGAGTGTCTCTCTTATTTTTTGTATTTTCGCGGATATCGTGAAAAACTTGGGATTACTCCGGACTTTTATGTACGCAAACTATTGGATGACTCCGCATTCGAGGCATAATCAAGTATTTAACTTTCCATCGCGACACGCTGTGTTAACTAGAAAGATTATTCTTCAGTGAAAATTAATTATGATTCGGGAGAATGCTTTAATGATGACTGCGTTTTTTCTCAATTTCATAGTTGCAAGAGTACTCGTATTCGAACTACCTTATAAACTGCAAATTTTTCAAATTTTCCTTGAAATTTCACTAGGAAATTTAACTGATGAAATGGTAAAAATGAAAGTAAGTTAGTCTCAGTGAGCTAAAAGTTGCATAACCTCGCAATGCTGGAACACTCTCGTCCATATACATATTCATGAGAAATATTTTATATTAGTTTCGTTATAAACTTTGAACGCTCGTACCTATATATTCGTCGAAATATTTAGTCAGTCATGCGATTCACAGATGCAACACGGACGAGTTGCCTCGCTAGTTTGACGTAACAAAAAGTCACGTTCGATTTATTCGTCAATTTTTTTTCGCTCGTGTTGAGCGAAAGAAAGCAAAAAAACGGGGATCGATTAAGAGCGAATTTGCTCTGAATGACGTTCCATTTTGCTCAAATACCTTAAATTCTAAGATGCATCGAGTACTATTGCAGTAATATTATATCCGCATCTACAATTCATAATTTTAATGTTGCAAACAATTTTATTTAGTTCCGTCTTTTTTTATTTGTACACTCGGCAACAAAATTATCGCAACAAAAAAATTCAGCGAAATTTTGTCGATTTTCAAATGCTTCTATCTTGGGCTAGATTTATCGTATCGACACGCTTTTTTTTTTAATTTCTTGGAAATTTTGTCCTCTTTAAATCCATATAAATTAAGATAAGATTTGAGTTAATGTTGAGTTACCAGTAGTATTTGAGCGTGACCCTAAAAATTACTGAAAAAAAATGACTGTTTGAACGTGTACCAGTACCACAGTGATTTTTTTATCGAAATCTAACATACACCATCGTAAAGTGCTCTTTTTAACGAGTAATTTAAAAAAAAAAAAGACCTCTCTACGATTTTTTTAACGCCCTGTAGGTCGATTTGAAGGTACGGTTTATGTACGCAAAATGCCCAGAAAATCGTCTTGATTTCAGGTAAACGGGGTATTTTACGTACTTTAAATGGTATCTTCAAATCGACCTCCAGGGCGTTAAAAAAATCGTAGAGAGGTCTTTTTTTTTTTAAATTACTCGTTAAAAAGAGCACTTTGCGATGGTGTATGTTAGATTTCGATAAAAAAATCACTGTGGTACTGGTACACGTTCAAACAGTCATTTTTTTTCAGTAATTTTTAGGGTCACGCTCAAAAACTACTGGTAACTCAACATTAACTCAAATCTTATCTTAATTTATATGGATTTAAAGAGGACAAAATTTCTAAGAAATTAAAAAAAAACGTGTCGATACGATAAATCTAGCCCAAGATAGAAGCATTTGAAAATCGACAAAATTTCGATGAATTTTTTTGTTGCGATAATTTTGTTGCCGAGTGTATTTTAAATAGCTTTCACTAACTTACTTGCATTTCCCACATTCAGATTACATTAATTCTTAAAAATTTCGAACAAATCACATTTTAAAAGCAAATTTTACTTTTTATATTAGCTTGAAATCGAATTGTTTGCTCCTTCCACTTTGACCGGGTACTTTTTCATTTCGGATCATTTGTGCAGATGATCTTGCTTGCGCACGAGGTCGGCAAAGCTCGTGTTCTTGTATCGGTTCAATTTTCGTACCCTTGGCGATCAGCGCGCGCGTATGTGTGTACTTTCCCTCTTTTAGAATTGCTCTCGAAGCACTGAAGGTCTTCATTGTTCACTCGAAGTTTTATCTTCACACACGATGGAGCAATATAAACAAGCAGAGTATAGGCCATTCGAGGGCAAAAAATTAATTGCCACTCGAAAAGTCGGATGTGTATAAATTTGAAGAGAAAAGCATAATAAAAATATCGTCATTACTTATCCATGCATATAGAGTAAATTTATTTGTCTGGAACTGGTGTAGTTTCCTCTCTGTTCAATTTCAACTTCACCATATATTACAAGCCTCCCTGTATGCATGCGTGCGTGGGCATGCGAGCGCGCGCCTGTACACGCGCCAGTGTATACGTATATGCGCGTCAGATACGACGTAGTAAAATAAAGCTTCACTCGCGCAATACACGCAGACTCGCGCGTACACAGTGGTTTAAAGCTCTATAATGTAGCAACAAAAGACAGAGCTCCTCGTATGAGGCAAGTTGTAAAAAAAAAATGTTCTCTATTCCCCTTCCTTCATGCTTGTCTTTGTGATATACGATACAGTGCGGCCGATGAAAATGGACATCAAAGGAGTAGTCGGCCACGCAATTCAGGGCTCAAAGGTTTTGTTGCAATGCGAGGTACAGGGTGCCAGACCGCCGGCTAATGTCACCTGGTACAATGGTACTGAGATCTTGCTGCAAAATAACAGCCGCCTCGATATGCACGAGACAAAGCTTACGGAAAACGTGAGTACTACAACTTTTTGCGCTTAAATTTACTTTGAAACCTTCTGGGCTTTCATTATATAATATTCCTTTAATTACACATGTTATTGCACAAATATTAATACACCGAGCACGAGCTTATTTGCTTTTCATGCAAAAATAGAGTAAACATTATGATTTAAAAGGTAAAAGAAGATTAAGAGTGTAATCGGTATTTTATTTGTAATTGAAAGCGGGTAAGCAAAAGAAAAAAGGCCGCATTGATCCAATAATAAGCGGAAGGCAGTGTTTACCGATATTTTCGTTGTTCATTATAGCATGCGTGCCCGTATAATTGTTTTAGTGAGAATGCACGTTACAATTAATTAGGATCTAGAAAACGAGAGAAACACGGAAAGAGCGAATCAGCTAGCGAGTAGTTTCAACCCAAGTTAGGTCAGACATTGGCAGCTTCATGGACTCATAAAAAATGCATTATTATTTGAACGCGCGGGGATTCCCTCGCACGCGCATCATAACTCAGCTATTTTGGTTCATTAAGAGCAGTGAAAAAAAAATACAATTACCTCTCGCGTCGAGTCTCGAAGGATTAATAAATTCCGGTAGCGCCGCTAGTAAACATGCGTAAACACGATTGGGTGCGTGTAACGTACGCGAAGCGTGATTTAAGTTTATGTGTTATGGCTGTGCTTTCGGATAATAGTACATGCAGCGTGGCAACTTTTCCATCGAGAATACGCGAGCAGGGGGCAAGTGCGTGTATACAAATCACTGCCAGACCGAAAATCAATTACTGCTGACTCGCGAGCACGCTGACTCTTATAACGCTCGTTTCTCGTTCTACGGCATAGTTTAACGAACGAATAATGCGCGCCCGGAGCTTTCAAATAGCGCCATCGGGCCGACTTTCCCCTCTCGTCTATATGGCGCGCATACAACAAATTTATGACGGCGACTATAAGGCCAAAACAATGCACCAGTGCACACGTATAGAATACTACTTTCGTCAGGTCAAAGAAGCGCCAGTGAGAAAACGAAAGAGACATAAGCGCGTAGCTTATTCGGGAGCGGGCAAAAACGGAGCAGTAAAAAAAAAGAGGAAGAGAGCAACCGTTAATTAGACTATTTAAATTTCTCATTACCTCAGCAGTTGCGAGGGAACAGTAGGAAGTGTGGACGGGCGAAAACAAGTTGAGTCCGTGCGAAAGAGCAAAACCCACCCGCGATGAGAAAGAGGGTATCGCAGGAGTTAGGCAAGCTGGCGAAAAATCAGCTACGCCGGAACAAAATGAATTTTTTTTCCCTCGTTTTTCGTCAAAATGTACGTGTGGGGCTGGCTGGCTGGCTGGCTGGCTAGCTGGCAGTGCAGAAGAGAGCAGTAAAGGTTCGAGCTGCGGGCAGCCGTACAAGTGTGGATCGTAGAGGCGAGCGAGATAACTGCAGCACGTGCACCGTAGCTCTATATATCTGTATGCAAGTGTGAGTGTCTATATAGGTTTGTATGTGCAGGCAGCAGCACTAGACTGTGCGGTTGCTTTATCAAGCTTACGTAAGCACGGGGCTGGGAGCTCTCTCCGCGCTGACGACTGTGATCTGCCTCTGTGTGGGCTCTCCGTGCGTGCGAGTTTGGAGTCTAGGCTCGCGCTAGTCGTTGCTGCTGCTGCTTCTGTTCTGCTCTTTCAAGTGTCAAGCTGACACGGGACGCTTCAATTATGGATTTGTAGTCGCACTTGGCTGCAAGAGTATTTGCTTACCACAGAATGAACGAGATAGCGAGAGACCCACGTACACAGAGAATGAATATATAATTAGATTTGTTTGCCAAGTATCTCATTAAGACTGGCCCTGCGCGGATCGCAGGTGCGCCATATCCCCCACCACCAGCCTTTATGATATCAAAGCTTAATGCGCACGAGTATTGACCCGTGATAGATGCAACAACATGCGGGTAAATTACAATGAACACCAGTTCATATTCATCGTATCATGACTCGCGCGCCAAGCGCAATCATAATATACAGTACGAGCCGTATAGTAATAGTGACGCTTTCGAGCTGCCAACAGCTGACTCGATATACACGCAAATAAATGAAAATTGAATCACTTGCTGCGCAATAACGAATTTCAATTATAAACAATAGCTATTGGCTCAAGTGCAGGGGAACAAGCCTGACGCTGCCCGAGCTCGGTCCACACAAACACATGCAAACATTTACTATACTGCATAGAGAGAGCTTTGCTTCTGTCTGAATATAATTTTAATCGAGTATTTTTACGCTTTACGAGCAACTGCATTATTCGTATCGCATTAAATTTACTGGATTTTCAGTTTATATTATTGAACGCATACGACGAATCTATGTATAGTAAGTGTTTAAAACTCTATTATAACGTAAAAAGCGTATGTTAAAAAAAAGTAAGTTGTTTAAGCAATTTCAACAGTTACAAGTAACAATTGAAATCTCGAAAAACAATTATATAAATATAAAAACGAGAAGAGAATAAAGTAAAAAAAGTTTAGTTCTAAAGAGCGAGAAACTGATATAAACACGCACTAGCAATAACGATAATGTGCATCTGTTCCTACTTGCGCGCAGTGTATCTCTTGAAGTAAAGAAATCGCGTAGAGATAAAAGAACGAGCTGCGCACCCTGCGATGATGTGGCATCTTGGGATGCGCGCACACACACACTCGCACTTATTCACGTATAGGCTAGAGCGAGAGTATGAGAGAGAGAGACTCATCCCTGCGCCAGCGCCATGTCCAGATAAGAAGGAAAACGAGCAGCAGCTGTGACTGCGCATACAGAGTAATGGGGTGAGATAATAGCTTGGAAAATGGAGAATGAGACAGACTCGAGATTCGCCCAAGATGCCAGGCACTAGCATGGCGACGACGATTCTTTTTCGCGCGCGAGAGAGAAACCTTTTTTTCTTGCGTGCGCCGCTGGTGCTCCTTTTTTCACAACCTGGACACTCTTCCTGGCTCGAGCTCGAGGAGAGAGAAAGAAAGAAAGAGAAAGCTAGACTAGCGACGCGTCACATTATGAGCACGTGTATATAATATATAGTAAAGCCGCAGCTCTACGCGAACGAGGAGGTAAATAGCGAGAGGGAGACTACTCCGGCACACTTATCTTGATCACCAGCTAGACTAGTGCTGCGTGTGAATTCAAGCGGTAGGACGCGCGCCTCGCAACGCTATTGTAGTAAAGCTCCTCGCCTACGTGAGGCTCTGCAAGTGTGTGTGTGTGTGTGCTGCGAGCTGCATTCGCCGAGCTTCATTCATAACGCAAGATATAATCTGTCTCGGGCTCGACTTTTCCTCTAATATACAATTCCACGATAATTATGCACACCGCTGCGAGCTCGCAGCACACATAATATGATGTGTACATTCAGCGAGCGAGTGTTTGTTGAGCGCGTGCTTTCATCGGAAATTAGCGCTATGAAAAAAACTTTTTCAACACCCGCCAGGGGGGAGATGACTCAACCTGCAGGCCGCCGAATCGTTACGACGACCAATCGATCGATTAGAATTTACCTACGTATCGGATTTACGTTTCTGCGGCTGCACTGCGCAGCGCCCAAGAGTTCGTTAAACATTGTGTATTAGTCAGTGGGTTTGTGTACGTGTGCCGCATGATATTCGCTACAGTATACAGTGAATGTGCATTTATTAATTATGCAAGCTCACTGCAGAGCCGTGGCTTGACAGTTTATTTCATTAAGCTCGCGCACACAACAGACCGAGAATGGAAAAAAGTATCGCCTTGATTATGCTCCGTTATCAGGGTGGAAAATTAATAATCACCCGGTGACGCTGCCGTCGGGAAGTTCATTGTTCGGCCAAGATCCTATCGAGCAAGAGCCTGAATGTGTTCGCCAGTCTATTAGATAATTTATGATTAATGAAAATTAAACGCTATAACATGTTATATTGACCCAGCTACGGTTGAGTATAGAAAGCAGTGAGAGAGAGAGAGAGAGAGCCAGTCGATCTTTAGAAGCCGTAATCGATACTCAATTCATCTTTAGCAAGAGCCAGTGAGAAAAGGCGAAAATAAAAGGAAAACTCGAAGCTATAGAAGAGAGAAATGTACCTGGGAGGCTGCAACGATACGCCACCGTCGACGTTGAGGTTATTATAGCACGGCTATAATCAGATAATCCATAATAATGGCGCTGAAACGGCGCTACAGACAAGAAGAAGACTAAGAGAGTTGAAAGTCTCTCGAGAAGCGATAAGGTGGCGCGAAGGTCGTGCTACCAGCAAAATCGATCATCTCACCTCCCCGGCTCGTTGCCGATATATCTGTAGAGCTGGGGGCGCGCGGAGCGGAGAAAAGCTAGAGAGAAAAAATCGCCCAAGACGAGCGTCTGCGAGTGAAATAAACCACCGTGGCACAAAAGAACGCGCGCCGAGATCCCGATGATGCACACGCGCGCGTGAGCAAACACCGAGCCAAGGTTTTGGCAGACACTAGAAAAAAGAGCGAGAGAGAAAACAAAAACGCCGCACGTGAAGTGAAGGGAGCAATTACAGTGCGGTGGATAGGAGCTAGTGAAAAAAAGACAGAAAAAAGTGGGTTAATTCAGCTCGCTCGCCTCATTAATCCTCCATCGTCAACGAACTGCTTTCTATGTAGACGCGCACACAGAGCCACACAGCCGCAATACCTACAGCTCACGGACCTCTCGCTAGCTATATACGCTCTTGAATCCGCTGATGCGGAAGAATTGTTATCGGCAGCCACCCATGGCATTTTTCCTCCTTTTCTGTATTTCGCTTTCTTTCTTGCGCGCCCCCGCTATTATATAAAAAAAATGTTCGAATTTAATTCTCTCTCTTTCTCTCCCACCTCGTTCCCGCAAAATTTTTACAAAATTTCAAGAGTTGCGTGTTATTACTAATACAAATATAGGTATACATCAGATTATAAAAAAAGCTTTTGTTCGGAATGACCTTATTTTTTTTCTTGATTTTTACTTTAACAGAGCGATGGAACGACGCAAACGAACAGCTTTCTCGCCTTTACGGCCTCGGAGTACGACAACGGGCGCAAGTTCAGCTGTGCGGCCTTAAATTCGGTCATGCTCAAGGAAGGCAGCAAGCCCATGAAGCAGACCGTCACCATCGAAGTTATGTGTGAGTACTTGTGTTTATTTCGTATAAATTTGCCCTTACTTTCTCCTCGACTTGTTTTTATCTGCCCATACCTCGAGCCATTATTAGGCTCTGTGCAGTCGAGGCCAGTACTCGGAGCAAGATAAACGTAGAAATCACGGGCTTTTGTATAGCTCTCGCTTATCTTTATTTAATTTTAACTGCCTCTTGGCTCAAACGAATTTCCACCCGTTGTCTTTTCGGTGCGCTCCGCTCACAGCTGTGCCCGGTTCTTTTTTTTTCTTTTTACTTTCTGTACAGCCCGCGCTGCTATTCTTCCTCGCCTCAGCTTGTGTCGTTAAATTACCAGTGCAGCGTACTGCATATCATAATATAGCCCTTTAATTTTGGAGCGGGGCCGTTATTATTCATTGCGCAAGTCTACGCGTTTTCACAGTCGGTCAAAGTAAAAATGTATCGTGTGTAGCCACTTTGATGTTATCTGCTCGCTAATTTGTGCAAATAGTTTTATACTCTAGTCGTTCGTATTCGTGTGCGCTTGTACGTAGCGTATAAAAAGGTAATTAGTATAGCTGCCTCATTCAGCGATTTCGGTTTAGCAAGGTATAAATGCAGCGCTTCCAATAATTCCTCGAGCCGAGAAGAGACAGCTGCAGTCGGTAATTCAACTTTTAAACTTTTGCAACTTTCAAGCGTCAAATAATGGATTGGACGGCTCAAAGCTGCGCGCGTGACTCCGCTCCGAATATGGTCACGGGACTCTAATAGCGTTGCACCCAAAAAAAAGCGCGCGCGTTATTTTTTTCCCGAGCTCGATAAAACGCGACGTAAGCTACACGTAACAGCGAAAAAGCTGCAAAGAGCCTCGACTAATCTACGAGCTATAGCAATGCGGTTACGCTGTCCTAGAGCTGAAGTTCATTGTCAGTCAACATGTAAATTGTTCGTCTCGCTCATCCGCCGTATATTATCATAGCCTTTTTTGCCCTCCGGGATACTTTTTACACGTCTGCCGGCTGCAATGCTTTAACTACTTTCCTATCTCGAATACGAAATAAAGGCTACTTCTTTATATTCATACGTTCAACGCTCAGCACTACTGGCTACGGCTGTACTATGACCCGACGATGTCTCATTAAATCGAATTTTCCTGCGCTTTCGCAATAAAACACGCTGCAAAAGGAGCAGTCATGCGCGTTAAATGTAAATTTTAGACTTCCAAATCGTATTTAAATATGAAGCTCTTGAATGAAGCCCTTGATTAATTAGCATTGCAATATTTTTCACAGATCCTCCAATTATACGAGTTAGCCCAAGTAATATCACCGTCAACGAAACCGATGACTTTCAACTGTTTTGCGATTACGAGGCGAATCCGGCCACGCTAATTAATGTAATATGGTGAGCCATTTTTTGCATTCTATTTACAACTTGAAATATATTCGCCTCCGAAAATAGTACGGATATGCAATAGTAACAAAAAAACAAGAGAAAAGAGCATACGACTTGTATTCTCATTGATAGAAACGTTGAAGGAAATTTAATGGTAAAAATGTCAACAATATGATGGATGCTTTTTGCAGGCAACGAGACTCGAAGAATATAATGGTAAGCGAGGGGCGCTACGAGGGAGGCACGACCGATATGACATCTTTACTAGTGAAAAATGCAAGCGCTGGTGATATTGGCAGATACACGTGCATCCTCGAAAACGATTTCGGCAGTTCGACTTCTCAAGATTTCATCGACGTTTCCGTATTGTGTGAGTGTCGCGAGTCGTGTATAGCGTGTAATGCGCGAGTTGTTTGGCAAAACGATACCTTATAGCGTATTTCTATTTGTCTACATGAAAAATATCTGTTTCCAATTGGCAGATCGGCCAGTCGTGGAAGTTACGATCGAGCCGAGCAGACCGATAAACGAAGAGTCGCGCATGAACGTCTCGCTGAGCTGCGACGTGCTCGGTGGCAGACCCGCCTACCTGACGGCCGTCCGATGGTACCTCGACGGTGATCTTCTCAAGGAGCTGCCCGACTGTGCGCGCAACAACTCGGTGCCCGAGGAGTTCTGCGATATCGATCCGAGCAAGCTGCTGCTCGAGTCCGTTGGACGCACCTTTCACGGCAATTACTCGTGCGAGGGTCGTAACGACGCTGGCTGGGGTCCAATGTCCGCCGATACGCCCGTTGTCGTCTACTGTGAGTATTATAAGCCGCCACGCGCTTTAGCCCCTCCTATCTGCCTCGACGGCACATTATCTGCACAACGTGATTATATACCAAATTGAGTGGTCCTACAAGACAGCCATGTGTCTCGTTGGCTGAACCAATTATTTATGAATCTGCGGTCAACGGACGCGAAAGAGCTCGACTTACCCGAAAGAATACTCGCGAGGCTTACGAGCTGGAGAAAATTAAAAAATTTCGCATTGCTCGCGCGTTCACGCTGAGAATTTCAAAAAGCTTTCATGAAACTGACAAAAATGTACTTTCACACATATATATGATATATATGAAGCCCAACTGCTTGCACAAGCGCACCGGAGTAACGCTACATCCTGGCGCATCAATAGAGTTTGTACATCTTTTGACTCTCGCGTGCCATTTTCCCCTGCTTTTTTCGCGCAGCAGCCGGTGGCCGATGTAACACACTGCCTACAGGGTAGGGGAATTTCATCTCTACTCTCTACTGCATAAGCGGATATGAAATGTTTTCTCAAACACACGCTGCGCTCATATACCTGCAAATGCAAGCAAAAAACATTAATGCGTATGTAGAGAAAAGTTGGAAAAAATATTCGGCGAATAGTATGAAACGCATACACTTTTATCACGGAAATTACCTTGCGGATGGTTCGCTAAGCATAAAAGTCGAGCTTATCTTGCGAGTTTGCACAAGCTGAAATGTGAATCATTACATCTGCGGTGTAATAGCGGTTTTTTTTCAATGCAAAGCCACATCATAATGTACAGCGATAAAAACGACATTTTCATATTTATTTGTATGAAAATCACCACACATGTGCTTGCGCGCTTATGTGTTGAAACAGATAAGCCGGGACCTGCATCAATATCGTACGAGCCTCGGAAGGTGGTGAAGAAGGGGCCATTGAACATAACTTGCTCGGTCAAGGATCCGGGTCGACCCGCCGCAACTGGTTTCAAGTGGTTTCGAGGCGCCGTGCGTCTGTCAGAAGAGAATCAGGCCGTTTACCGAGTCGACAAGGTTCGACTCGAGAATCGGGAAAATTTCACGTGCCTCGCTTACAATCAGGCCGGCGATGGCGACTCGGCCACCACCTTCATCAACGTGTCAGGTAAATACATTGAGACGCGAAAAACGTCAAAAGTTCTAATAACTTATTTACTTTTTTCATTGAACAGCGCCACCAGCCTTCATCAAGAAACCACCACAGCTCGTGGGTTTTGTGTACAATGCGACAAACGTGAGCCTGGGCTGCCACGTCGAGTGCTCGCCACTCTGTGATATCATTTGGATGAGGAATAACAAGACAATCGACTTTAGCCGCACACGTCAATTTTATCTTCAAAACAATCGTAGCCCGCCGAATCTTCGCACTGACGACTTTGAGAGCATCAACTCGTCGCTCGTGTGGAATTTGACCGCTTGGCCGCTCGGCCAACTCGACCGAGTGGCTGACAATGACGTGACCTTCACCTGTATGAGCAACTCCAATGGCATCGGACCGGGCGTTGTCAGCACAGTCAAAATTGAAATATACTGTGAGTATTTTAAATCCGTAAACGAATTAATTCGATATCAGTTTAGGAGATCTTAAAATGTGAGTTGAAATGAAAGAAAAAGAGAACACATTTATTGGTGCAGCAACTATTGTCTCGAATGACTCTTATGCATTATATTGAGTGATGAATGCATTTAAGTTGATGTCGCGTTAGTTCCAATCGGATAACAAGCCAAAGGTAGTGTACCGTCGAATTTATACAATCATACACTAATTCTACTTTATCCCTCTCATTTAACAAAAACAAATTTATTTTTTTTCGTGATAGAATGCCCGAAAGTTAAATTAAACTACTTGTCCTCTTGTTGAGGAATTGCTTTTTTGAAATAATAAAATTTTCAGTTTTTGGGAGTGCTGGTTAGAGTGCGCGAGTAGAAAGTAACTGCATTCAAGCTTTACGCGCTTCTTCTGTGCAATAACTCGGTTAAAAAAAAACGACGATTCTATTTCGTTGCGAAAAAAATTTTTATTCAAACAAGCAAACAAACTTCAGACGTGAATAGAGTAAGCGTAAGGGCAGAAGAGGTTACAACGGTAGTTCTGGCCAACCGGAGACGCCAAAAAAAATAGCAGATGAAACAATGAAAAGTCTCAAAATTACTTTTTTTTTTTTAAATAATTGTGCGAATTTCATAAAAGTGTCGTCCAGTCAAGTACTTTTTTCAACATTGTTTTAAAAAAATGTAGTTTTACAACATGTCATTATTATTATTATCATCATTATTATTTTATTTTATTTTTTTACTTTAGTTCCACCAGAAAGTCTTACAATTTCAAAAAAAATTATCAACGTGGCCGTTGACAATATTCCTGAGCCCATTATGTGCAACGCCACAGCCCGTCCAGATCCTCAGTACCGATGGTATCGCGAAGGAAAGTCAGAAATTATATCCGAGGGTCCGGTACTGCACTTTAAAACACCTTTTTCACGCAACAGCCGAGGAGCCTATATCTGCCAAGCGAACAACAAAATTGGTTCGGCAACTATATCCACTTACATAAACGTGCAATGTAAGTATAATCATTTTTACTAGCATTAGCAAGAAAAAATAAACATGACGAAAATTTATCTTTCTTGAACCATCAAACTCCTGACTAACAAGTAAAAAAAATATATGTAAACCCTGTAATGTTTTAATACTTCATCGGCTTCAAAGTAAACTATATATAATTTTGAAAGACAAAATATTTAACTTTCTAGTAATTTCATCATAAAACAATACATTTTTAAAAAGCCTCACTGAAAAGCTTCATGATTTTACAAGGATTATGCAGTGGTATTTTATTCAAAAGTTTGACGGCATTTTTAGCATAGACTTTATCGTATTCCATTATCCATTTTCGAGCTAAATTTTGTGTGTTGCTCCCTGATTTTTTTTCCACCTTGATAATTTATAATGCTCATTTTTTTTAAATATGCTGCAGATCTTGTATGAATTTGACGGACTTCATTTTCTCTAGTTTCGTACTTCAATAAATATTTACAACGAAACATTAAATCAAGTGACTGCTCAGTAAAAAAATTGATCTTTAATAAATGAAATATCAAAATATCACTGGATTTTCCCATATGGCATTTTGGCGAGAGCAAAAATTACAGCTTCGTTGCACAGAGCTTATCGTATCGGTGCAACGACGCTTTTGGATTTATGAACATTCCTCTTAAAATAAAATATCCTTCCGATCCGCTGCAATAGCATGAAAATCATATCAGCGGATTAAAGATAGAGCAGGTCGTGCACTCACACGTAGGCGCACTCGATGTATATATTCGACGTGTAATGTATAACACGAATGTATATAGTATATATGATATATACGTTGTCGAGTCTCGGTCTAATACTTTTTGATACGACTTGTCCGAGTGCAGACAAGCCCGAGTGCCAAGTTGATAAGGAGGTAATGGAGGGCAAGGATTACGTGGTGTGCAGCGCCGAGGGCAACCCCAGCGAGTACGGCTTCAAATGGTCGCTGAAAAGTGACAACGACACGATCGAGAGCGTACCGATCGTTCTGAGCGGCCGTAGCTATCTGCCGCTCGACGACTCAGTCTCGAATCCAAGGACCTACGTCTGCGTCGCCAACAACAGCATCGGCTTCTCCAATCCCTGCGAGCGTCACGTTCCTGGTGAGTGTAACTTTTGATACCTTATACAGCAGTCCGTATAATACGAGTATAAGCTCTGCTCGTGTGGCGTATGTGTCTCGTCAGGCCTCGCGTTCACATAGTACGACGTTGCGTCGTCGCTTTTACGACGAACGAGCCGAGCCAAGCGCCAAGCTTCGTTTTATTATCTTGCCAAGCGCAACTTGTCCAAGTGCAAGTTTCCTTCCTGCCAAGACGTTTAGCCAATGCCTATATAAAGTTAGATGCTTACGAAGCATGCGCTGTCTCATTGCTTTCGAATTTGCTCGTTATTGTTATGCGCTTACTCTCGTATAGGGCCCGCTGCAAATTTCAACGAGTCGGGCGAGAAAAGCTTTATTACTTGCTTGTTAATTTCATCGTAAACCTCGTAACAATACCAAGATTTTGAAATTCATCAAGTTTTCAAACAATGTCATAAAACTAGAATTTAAGTTTTCATCAAACATCTTCATCAAGTGAGCTTCATTTTTTTCCATTTTTTTTTTCTTAGCGCACCAAGGACTCGATAGTAAGTTTGGATCATTTTTCATTCATTGTAGGAATTATCTGACGAAGTCATACATTTTTTTTCTCTACTTATTAAATTCGATTTGTACACTTTATAAACTTCGTTTGATAATTGCATAATCATCCTTTGACCACAAACCATCGATATCCATCGCACAATAAACATTCATCAAGCATTTAAAAATTTTTTCTACATTTTTCAAAGTTATGTTTAATGAACATTTTTTTTTTAATTACAGCAAGTGTACCTTGGTGGTTGAAACTGGATAGCGATTTCCTAGTCATTCTCATCGCCACGACAGTTATCATCATTTTAGTGCTCATAGTCATCAGCGTAGTTATCTTCCTCATGTGCCGTCGAAAACACAGCAAATTAAAATGTAAGTCACGTAATATTTTAATCAGAAATTCGTTTTTTAAACACGATGTCCCCAGCAGTTATATAACTAGTATATTTTTGTAAAGTATACTGGAAGTAAGAGGATCAAATTATTAAAATGAGTATGAAAAAAGATAAATTTTATAAAAATTACAAAAGTAGCTTTCAGCAAAAATAAACCCCTGCATTTAGGCACCCCTCAACATTATTTTAACTCTACAACTCGAAATTTTATTTGTTTTATTTGAATAAACTGCTTTTGTGCATTTGCGCTCTAACTCCTGCAATGCAGACAATACCCGTGTGGTCGAGTTGGAAGAACGCGAACAGTAAGTATCAGACAGTAGTTGCAAGTAAAAAGTAAGCCATGGCACTTTTAGAAGTAAGAATTGCTGCACGTAGATTACGAGCTATAATTATATACCAGTTAACATATCATGCATTTAACCAAAACTACTATCTTTTGGTATTTCTATAATTCATATATATTCGTTATAAGTTGGATTGTAATTATCTGAAGCTGGATTTGGATTAATCTGGAACTGATTTTGATTGATATTCCTTCCGCTGCGCTGTTCAATTTGATTTTTTTCTTTCACTTTTCAGTCGAACTCGACTAGTTTAAAATTAATCGAGTCGATCCAAATATAATAAAGCAATTTTCAGGTTTCATAGCTCAAACAGACGAGTTATTAATGAGTTATGTCTAAATCTTTTTATACGGGAGGAATTCAACAATAATTTTTCAATCGAATGGTAACTACTTTGGGTTAACACTTAATAAAAGTCTTATTAAACATGGAATAAAATAATTTCGGTGTAAATGTCTTTCATCACATGCGTATATTCAACTGAGAAATCAGAATTCATACGTTCTTGTAGAATCGATTTGTCAAAATCAATAGAATTTTCTCATCAAAAATTGGTATATTCGTTCATACTCGGCAAATTTCAAAGAAATCAGGCACACAGTAATTTGCAAAAATTCTTTTCATTTCGATCGAACGTATACATAGAAAGAAAGAAAGAGAGAGATAAAGATAGAATGTAGATAGAACTAAATAAAATTAAAACATCTCTCTTGACTTTCATCATATATCTGCCGTATAGGTAAACACTCACTCTGAAGTCTTTTTAACTTAGTGCTTTATTTTTCATAATAAACGTATCTACAGGGCAATGACTTTGACTGCAGCAACGTAGTTTGACTACTGCAGTACTTGGAAATCTTGCGTATATACATACATATTGACTAAAGTCAAGCCAATACGCTGATATTCTTGGCCTTTATCCAGCTACTTTTTAATATTTAATTGTTTGACTGCATTGCGCGGAATTTCACAATCGATTCGCTCTGTACGCACGAGCGTGATCATGCCAAACTAACGTGGATTATAATTTTCCTGTTTATTCGAAATATGATGCTGCCTGCGCATAAATTTAATTAAATTAATTTGCCAACTTATGCATACAGTCAAACTTGGGTTACATTTTCTCTCTCTCTTTCTCTCTCCTTGTACAATTACTGCTCGAAAGCAACAGATTATGAGCATAACATATTATATTCAAGCTCACACGTTCGTAAATTATCTTTGCTTGGCGAAAAGCTATACACTTTTCGAACTCTGATGAACTCTTGTCGATAAATAATTTTCTTTTACACTTTATTAGAATCTGTGAATGTTTCTTTGACGTTGGACACTTTTTTGATATTTGAGTTTTTTCGAATAAAAATTTTTCAAAGCTCAATGAAAAGAATTTTGGTTTTATTTTTCATTTTTATTTTCACACAATTTCATTATGCAGTTGAAATTTTTAAAATTTATTTCGAGCTTAAGAATTTAAATTAATTTTTAAATCATACTGTAATGACGCAGTTGGATCTCTTTGTCTATTGGTCTAGGCAATGCCCACTAACCACTAGCCTCTTAGATCATTTTCGAGGGTTATCTTGGTTGTAAGGTGAGGGTTGTGTGAATCAATATGAAGGTCATGTGTGCATGGCAATTTGTCGGTGATTATTGATGGAAGCCAACAATTATTCTGTGCATACAATATAAAATCGATGGCGACTGAATAAAATTGCTGTCGGAGGAAGCGACTATTCTAGGCATACGGCAATGAACCGATGGCACTTGAATATAATCACTGGTAAGCACTGCAACTATTCTGCGCATACGACCGAAGTCGATAGCAGCTGAATAAAATTGCAGTCGGAGGAGAAGACTATTCTGGGTATACGGCAATAAACCGGTAACGCCTGAATAAAATCATCGAAGGTGTACAGTAACTATTCTGCGCATACGACAATATGTCGTTAGCAGCTGAATAAAATTGCTGTCGGAGGAAGAGTGATTACTCTGGGCATACGGCAATAAACCGATGGCTCCTGAATAGAATCACGTAGGGATACAACAACTACTCTGCGCATACAACACTTATGTTGCTAGCAGCTGAATAAAATTGTTGTAGAAGGTAGAGTGATTACTCTGGGCATACGGCAATAAACCGATAGCTCCTGAATAGAATCACGGTGTAAGATAACTACTCTGCGCATACGACAATGTGTCGATAGCAGCTGAATAGAGTTATCGATAAAAGAAAATAATAAATAAATTGTTCAAAAGATATGTTTATTGAAAGTAAATAAAATAATAAACGTGGTGCGTTGGTAGGTAGGTAGGTAGATAGGTAGATATATAGAAAGTGAGAGAATAGCTAGCTCTAGGCAAAAGCGATAGCTACGGATGTTATGACTTGTTACAGGCCGAACAAAGATGTTACTTGTTCGAGGCCTGACAAGAGAGTGAGCGAATGCTCGCTGAACGAAAGCTGGGTGACGAATGCTCCTGATACTCTCCAGGGCCCCCGTATTTATACGATTTGCGGGCCTGGCTGGAGTGGGATGGAAAAAGTAGGAGGTGTTGGAGAATTTGAATGTTTAAATTGGAGAGGCTGGAAAACCGTAGTTAGTAAAAATATGGGAGTTGGAAATTAGGATTGTAGGGAAGTTTTCCTTTCCAACGATACCTCATAATACATAATTAATTACAAAAATAGTTACAAAAATGATTATAAATAATAGTTCATACATTCCGCTATAATGTTACTTAGAAAAATGGTTAATTAATTCATGATATCAATATTAATGTTATAATATAATTGTAGCACACGTATATTTAGTTATGTAAAGATTAACAATTGTATAAATATCGTACGAATGAATATTAGTTGTAACTTGAGTTTGTAACTCAGAATTAACATTTAATTATACTAAATATATTTGTGCTTCAATGTACAAAATGGAAGATAATTATTTTACTTGAACTTAGATTAAGTAAATAGTTGTAATTGTTTAGTTAGCATAGAGTTATATAATGCATGACCGATAATAATTATTAGTTCTGACGCAACTTAAATATAACAAACAATCGCTAAAGGTAGATCATTAATTACTAAAAACCATTGATAATATTGATTTACACTAGGTTGTTTCGTAGTTAAGTTAATAATTAACACATCGTAGTGTAATAAGCCGACGGCTCTTGAGTCGGTTCGTTAACTAAGGAAGTAGTTGAGTCTGGTGTTGATTTACTCGTCTTAACAAATAGAATTTAATAATAATTATGGCTACATCGAGGCGTAGTTTGTTTAAGCGATATAGCCTAAAAGATTATTCATCAGAACTACATGTAAAAAGATCGAGCTTGTTCGATGTCGAAATCCGTTTTATCGGTGAACACATGGCTTCTGAGAAAGGTGTGAAAAGTAATAAACTCCAAAAATAGATGGAACGGTCGCTCGGCGCGTGAATAATACGCTCGAACTACAAGTTACAAGCTATGTACAAGTAAGACATCGAAATATATTTTTTTGATTTTAAATATGTATTTAGTTTGAATATTTCCACAATACGCCTTGTAGGACGGATCGGTACGTGCAGGCGCGTTAAGTCGGAGCGCGGAATTGGCGGGTTGCCTTGGCGTAGGCTATTCGTCGTAGGACGTTACAATACTATAAAAATTGAAATTTTGTATCTCAAGTGTTAAAAAAAAAGTATGTTACTTTCTCAATCGCTACTGAGCTGCTATCAATAGATATATCTACATGATTACAACCGTACAGTGATATAACATCACTACACGGTGATATGTACTCAGGTATAAATCTTTCACGCGGACGCGCGTTATATTCTGCACATCTCCCTCGACAGTAATCGACAGTTCCAAATCTGGTTTCAAGTACCGACGCGCGTCTCGTGCATGTAAACAAACATTGCAGGACTATTCGACAATTTTGAAGTGCTTCAATACGATATATAGGCAGGTTGCTATTGCTGCTACTGCTAATGAGCCACTCTGGCGCTTGTTGCTCGGTCATTAATTTTTGCCTCGTCGGATAAATCGATCGTTCAACTACGCCGCAGTTTCGAGTTATTATGCACCTGATCGGAAAGCGCGACAACAGCAGCAGTAGCAGTTCTGGCGCGGTTTTTCCGCAATCTCTCTGTTCTTCTTTCTCGCGTGCGCGCCACATACCCCATAAAGTCTCTTTCTCTCTAACGTTAGTATATATGCGTGCAGCCAGCGCTTGGAAGTCTTGCGCGAAACCTTCTGCATAATTAAACAACTTCAGCGATGAGAAAGTCAATGCGCCATTATGCAGCATGCAGCCACAATTGTTATAGTACTGCAACTATTTATACATCACGCTATCAGAAATGCGTGTCGCTTTTCTGTACTTCATTTTCTCGCTTTTTTCCTACTACTGCTTGTGCTTGTGCTTGTAGTTATAGTATACATTTTATTTTACATTGGGACTCACGGTTCAGGAGCTTGAGCAACGATTTCATGCAAATACAGGTGATGGATTTACAATTTACATTATAATATTTATTAAAGTCAGCAAGTGTGGGATATGAATGAGAAATGACAATCATGTAATTTAGGTCCGAGCTCGTATGATCAGCGTTAAATCATTTTTATTTAAACGAAAATGTATCACATGTGTGCATATGTACATACTGCATTGAAATATTATAAAATTTCCAAGCCATATCAAGATAAACGAGATGCATTTTGCAATATTACGACGAGCTGGGTTACGCTCATGCCATATCATTTTTTTTCTGCTCGTGCAGCAGACCAGTGCTTCTAGTTGAATATCCGCGTTCAAATGCGTAAAGATCGATACAGCATTTATGGATGCTAAAAATATAGAAGTTAATCAAAAATTTATACTTGCAGTTCAATGCAACACGTTCCGTGTATAGAATCTGCCACGGTACGTAAATGCGAGTTAACAAAAAAACTCGACTTTTTTGGGTACTGGAATTCGTATCGGTAAATTTGACGTGCGCGCGATTCGGATTGTTTTAATGTTAGATAACATAGGTGCGCGACTAAGTTACAAAATACGTCAACGTGAGCGCAAGCAAAGCACAAACTGCGGGGGTATTTACGACCTAGATTTTGACGCAGCGGCAAATGTACACATACACAATAATTTATGTATATTTATAAATATGCGTGAAAGTGTATGGGGGCGAGCTTGCAAGCTCGAGAGACTTATATTATGGATGGTGCGCTCACGGCAGTGGTAGTGGCGTGCGTACTACTATATAGACGCTTTATAATATTAATTGTCTTAAGGCTGTGCAAAAGCCGGTAGGGGTGTGCAGTTGCAGTTCTGCATTCAGCAGTCTACCGCACTACTGAGAGTAGAGAGAAAGAGAGAGAGAGAGAGAGAGATGCTTGGGAAAGTGACTTTATACGGAAGGAGAGCAAGAAAGACAATGAGACCGGGAATCATTCCTAAAAGCGTTGGGGCGCGAAACTCTATTTGCACAAAGTGTGCCGCCACTGCTGCTGCGAGCACACTTAAACTATACGCCGAGTTATAGCTTTGCGCGCGCATGCACGCTCATTCCCATGATTTAACTCTCACACACGCGCGCACACGAGTGCAATTTTACCGTCACGCTCTTTATATTTATATGCTATAATATGAGCAACTGACTCGTGTTTTCAATGAATATCAAGAAATTGAACTGCAAGTGCTTTGGAAACGTGTTTAATTCCTGTGACTCTCGTGTGATTCTCGATGAAATAATATACGCCTGCAATCACGAATCTAGGAAGAGAGATTTTAAACCCAACTTGACATTGCGAATGATATTTTGACTACGCAGATTATATAAGATGAATTTCTCAATCTTTTGAATCTCGCGTATAGCAAAATTAAACTTTTTGAGGGGTTGCAGAAACCATTCGTTTTATTGAACAAGATATGCGTAATGTCAACACAGATTTATTTTTCGATTTTTCAAAGTTAAGTCTAGTTTTAGATTCTCTTAATGCTCTATCGAAAAAGGGTCTTTTTAAAAAATTGTGAAAAAATTTGTGAAGCTAGTTTTTGAGCTATATTTATCAAGTTTAAAAAACATCTGTAATCCATACTTAAATTTAAATTATTAAATGAGTAAAAAAATTTACCAACGCTAAAATTGCGATTTACGTACTTTAAAATGGTGGGTTTTCATTATTTACGCTCTCAATAATGCAATTATCTTGAGCTTTCGAATAGAACTGCAGTAGAAAATTATGAACGAGGAGTTGAAGTACACTACATAATACATTTCATCTATTGATCTACATAGTTTTCGAATCAAGGAAATTTATACTTCAAAATATTTTGTAAACAATAACGCAGCATTGAATGAGATTTTTTCATAGTTCGTGGTTTGACTAAAATATTTTACATAACGTAAAGACAATTAAAAGCCTACAGTTCCGTTGTGCTCGTGATATATATTTTTTTCGTGGTGGTAACGAACATTATCATATTCCATTGCTCAAAATATTAGTACTATTTCTTTTGACTGGTTAAACGTGAAATTATCAATGTGTACGCAGCTCGATAAAGCTATACAAGAGGTCAGTGCAGTGCCTTAGCATTTATACTTACCATTCACGTTGAATCTCGCATCGTTACACCCTAATAGAGATGCCTAGGAGAATGACCGAGTGTACTCATTGCCCACGTCAGTATAAAGTATCCGTATATCTACGCTGTAGGAGTTTGTGTGCTGCTGGGAAGATGGTGCTGGACTGGGTTTGGTCGTCGCAGAAAAGCCGAGCGAATACTCGCATTCGTCTTGGCTCTCCTGCTTCCTTGGGACTTGCCTTTTGTTTGTTTCGTCTTTAATTTAGGTCAGAGATACATCTTGAATTTTTTGCTCGGTGATGGTTCTTTCGGTGGTGGTATTGTTGTATCATTTGTTGCTTGCACAGACTTGCTTTGATTATTTTCTTCATCGCACACCGTCTCTCGTAGAATAAGTTGATTTTTGCAAGATGCTGCGTCGTTGCTTCTTTTGAGAACTTTTATATGTATTTCACATAGCTAATATCACGAGGATTGTGGAATTAAGGGATTAACTTTTACGGCCAAGGTGCGCGCAGTGTGCGTGCGGTTATATGGTTTTGTGCTGTAGGATCGAATAGCTTACATTTATACGTCTCGAGCTGGTGATGGGATTGATGAGGACAGCGAAGTAGTAAAACGGAAAAAGAGAGAAAACCTGGAGGTTGTAAACAAAGTTTTTGTTTATACGAAACGGCAGAAAACAAGAATCGCCGCGCTGCGATTGTAATACGTAAACTCACTCGCTGAATATGTGCGCGTGTATGAGCTCTCCGGCTATATATTGAAAAATATCATACATAAAAGTTGCCTTGCGTTTTTCGCAGCATATATGGAGGGATTTTATATTTTTTCATTGGATTGCGTAAACAGCAGAGGAAACTTCAAACTCAGCCGTCTGACCGTATCCGGACCAGAACTACTAGGAAACTCTTTTTCATTCGGGCTTCGGTGCAATGCTGGCCACGCGCGCACGGCTTGAATTTTCAAGTATTATACCACTGCCAGTTCGTTGTAGTATACCGAGTTCTTCTGTGTACGTACCGTCTCGTTCCGCTGGAATAAAGATTTCGGTACGCCGCGGTGCATTTTCCTCGCAACAAGACGTGCGTACGCACGCGCACGCGTCTATTCGTACTCGTGAACATACACCGGGAAGAATCGAGACGGAAACGCTTTCTACCTCCAACTCCATCGCTCTCTCTCTCTCTCTCTTTCTCAGTTTTACGAAATGCTTAGAAATACATTGTCGCATTATATAAATCGTGACTTTCCAACCCCAAGTCCTGATGGGGGTCCGCCGTCACCTACAGCGTCGTCCGTCCACTCGTCGGCAACGATCTCGACGCAGCAACAGCAGCAGCCACCAGTGCCTCGATGGCCCTTGAAACCCGGAGTGCTTGTCCATATCAATCGCACCAACAGTATGCGCTCGGGTCTGAGTCCCAGACTTGGAAATGGCAGCATCAGCGCAGGCTTGCCATCTCCGCCCTTGTCGACGACCTCCTCTTCGTCGAGATTACGTTTATCCGGCGTTACCGGGGACTCCTCGACGACTCCTCTGACCGAATCGAGCAACGGAGGCCCGAGGCCATTTCGTCGAGCTATCAAAGATCCCGAGTCGCGTACTCGTCGACAGCGTCGGCGCGTCAACTGCGCAGCTAACGGCCATCAGAATGGCGCGATGCTGCAGCATCAGGATGAAGGTGTGCTTGCTCGTGCTAATCGCATCAGGGCGATATTTAGCGTACAATTAAAAGACACAGCCGACGGATTTCCAGGAATATCGCGCGGCAAAACAGGTAAGATTACATCGATTGGGTTCACACCATATGCGCAACGCTTTTGTACACACTTGACCTCTCGTGAATTCTCGCTCTGTATTTTCTGTATTATATTTCTAATTACTACCTAGCACTAGTTTCTGACGATTCTCATATTCTGTACGTTTTGCGTTCAAATCAAAAATGAACTGATCAGCAATGGGGACTGAAACAACAATGGGAAGTATTATATATAAAAGGCCCTATTTATTATTCAATTAAGAAACTATCTGTCTTTCATGTCTTATTTCAACTTATTATATTTGCCTTATTATACTCGATATGAATATGATATAAAAGTCTATTGTTAAATATTTCGAAGGTCCTTCTCTGCGCCAAAGACTTTTGTTTGGCGAACTAGAAAATTAATGTCTAGGCAAGAATAGCTCGCTTTTATTTTTCATTAATATTTTTATATCCTTTTACCTGTTCAGAGCAAGAAAGGAATATTTCTAAACAGGTTAAAAAGAGTCGGTCTTGCAAAGAAGAGCTCCCTCAGGCACTTGCAAGTTTCTTTTAATTAGCCGAGAGTTGAAATCAATACTGTAAAAGTATATAAAAACAGTTATATTTATAACTTTGGCAGATATGAGTGGAAAAATATGTAGGTATAGCCAAAGTTCACATCATAGGCATGTTTTTTCTGAGTCTTCGATGATGCGTTTGAGCAAAGATTGATTCAATTTTTTCAGCAGTTCTCTCTCGTTTTCTCTTTTGACTTTACGAGGCGCTCTGGCTTGAAGCGAGGTATACACAAGCAAACGACTTTCTCACAGTTGTACATAAAACTGCAAACGGTGGCCGCGTCTGCGACACTGGTGCTGCGCACGTGTGTACGTGTATGTGTATGCGTGTGTGTGGGTGTGTGTAAACGCGCAGAACTTTTCCATGGAGCCATGCGCACTCCGGGCCATATATCGACATGATAACCCTCTGGGGCATTGGCGGGCGCAGTATATAGAAGCTGCTGTTTCGTCCTCAGCTTATACGTATACACAGGCTTTATACACCTGCCAGAAGGAGAGTGAGAGCGCGCCTACCACCTCCCTGAGCGCTAGTTTGATTTCGCTCGAGCTATCTTTCTCTCTCGCCGCTCTACGAGGGCTGCTTCACGCTCTACTATCATTTTTCTTGCCGCCGCGCGACAGTTTAAAAAGTTTCACCGTTAGGACTCGTTATAACACTGCATACAGCCGACCTGTGTTTGTGCACACCCACACAACATTTCTGAGAAAGCGCGCTGTTTTTATTGAAAAAAAGAAATAGAGCGAGCGCCTCGTGCAAAAACGCGAAAGTGACAAACGAGCAGTTGTTCATCTTTTTTTCATCCACATAGTTTCCCCGGGCCCGACTGCGCCGTGCTTGTTTCGCTGTTTTTTGACAATCGACCGGATAAGTACTTCTTAATGAGCTCGTAATGAACTGATTGCCAGAGGATGCCGCCACCGCCATTTTCGCCTAATGTCTGCACACGTATATCTTTACTGCGTTTGCCTAGCAGAGAGAATTTTTGCCCGTGGTTTTGCGTCTAAAGTCATTCATGAAATATTGCATAAGTTGAAAGACTATTATTATAATGTATCATTCCAGAGTTATGTCAAATCAAAAATCACAAAATTTGTGAAAACATTGTGGAGATGTGACAATATTTTCTACTGCGCTATCGGTATATATTATATAAGATTTACGTGTGGATATACGAGGAATCCAAAGCATGTATCGAGCACTTTACAACCTCGTCGTCCCGGGCGAATGACGCTCGATCTTGCTTGCCTACGACTCTTTTTCGTACTTTATTTCTGCTCTTACCTAGCCATCCTCGACGAATGAACAACGCTCCTTTATTTTTTTTCTTCTCTTGGATGTTTTCTGGAGAGGAGCGTAACCAAGTTCGAGCGTCAAAGCTTTGCATTCCTGAGTCTTGGAAGATAGCGACGGTCGTTGAATTTTCATCTTCTCTTGCGCGTGGTATGAAAGAAAATTTCAGTGTCAGCATGTGATTTTTGAGTGAAACGAGATTCTTCTCCGAGACCACCGTGCCGCGAATAAAGAAATGACGAAATTTTGCGACATTTTGACCGAGTAAAATTAAAAAAATATATCCAGGAAAAAATAAGAGCTTTTGGAAAATCATCGCTTGTGACAACGAAGGAAATGCAGATCGTATATCAGTCATGTACTTTCTTTTCTTTTCTGTCTCTCTCTTTATCTTCATGACAAGCTCCAAAGGGGGGCTTTACGTATACATGTGGTGTAACATGTATGAAGGCGCAAGTTGAAAAATCATCTTTTCAGCTTTATTCCCTCATAAAATAGTAAGACAACTGTAACAATGCAATATCTGTATTTCCATGTAGCGCATTTCCAATTTCTCTCGCTCTCTCTCTTCTACCGTATAGGCGAGCTCCAGAATGTGCAGTAAGCACAAAGCCACAAAATTGCCTCTCCACCCATCTCTCTTTCTCTCTCTCTGCTCTCGTCTGGCGAATTCGCGTCCTCTGCACACTTTCTATAAATCCATTTTCGATATCAGAGCTCGCGACATGTACAGTTGTGTGTATGTGTGTGCTGGTGCGCATGCAGGTACTACATACACGTGTTCATATTACGCGTACATGCGCAAGTCAAAGCCTCGCTTGCTGCAGCGCGACGGAATCTCATCGGTCCCTCTCTCTGCAAGGGCTTATACATATACAGCAACGAAGCGAGCAACTATTGCGTCGTGACCCTTGCGGTCTACAAATGTATGCGTAATTGTTACGTACTTTATATTATACTTGCCTGCCTGCCTACCAGACGCATACCGAATCATCGTATGCATGCTTGTAAATACTACATACATTTCTTGTATATATACAATAATATGAACTGTGCAATGGGTATACGAATATGCATGTGTATGTGTGTGTATATGTGACATAAAGCTGTGACGTACAAGAGAATAGCACCCCGACGAAGCGAGTATCAGCAGCAGCAGCAACAGCAACGGCAGCAACATAAGCAAAAGCAGAGCTCGCCACAAACTAAGCTTGGCCAGACCAGGAACAATGCAGCCGCCACCACCTCGTCCAACTCAACCTCGTCGTCCTCATCTGCGTCTCGTAAGCGCAAAAAGCCTGGAGCAGGTACGTATACTGCCATGCACGAGCCTGTGTCCGATCGGCCATCGACGGTATATCCATATACTGCAAGGTGTATACATCATGCCGTGCTTTGCTGCCAGCTTTTTCGTTCTATTTTTGTTTTTGTTTTTATGTATATTTGCTTTTGATGCACACGTGCACCTCCGCTACTTTCCTTTCAATTCTCTAGATATATTTATGAACGTACACATGCACGCACCAAGCGAATATACGTATATAGTTGGACATTTAACGTATAGGTTACACGAGCGGCCCATGGGAGTGCGCTGGGCAATTGTTGCACTCGCCTGGTCACGACGTACTGCTTCGCCTGGAATTATTTATTGACAACGATTTTCCAGCCGAGCGTATAACCCAACCTTCTCTCTCGCTCTTCCTCTTTGCTTGTTTTCTCTATCTCCTTCGTGTATGCGAATATAATATAAAACAACTGGCTTTGTGCAGAAATAATCAAAGTCACTCGTAGAAATAATAATTTTCCGCTGACAGTGTCAAAAAATTCACGTGACACGTGAAGCTGATCCTTGCACGAGAAATTGCTCGAAAACTTTTTTTTGCCCGTAAACGTTGTATATGTTTACGGTATGCATTTTTCACGAGCAAAAATTTGTGTAGCTCTACGCGCGGCAGATTCTAACTAACTATGGTGGATGAAACAGAATCAAGTATGCGACTGTACATGTTCTATGCAATGCTGCTATGTCACGCCGGACACAGTAATATTTCAAGCGACGATATGTCGCAAATGTACGGCACTAACTTGGTGATGGTTAGAAAAATTATTAAAACAATACAAAGTAGTAATTGTATATATTATGGATATTATGTGACCCGTTATAAAGTTGAATCAGAGAAACAATAAGACTGCAACTTGGGTCGAAATCTACGATGAACAGCTATGAAACACTACTTGAAAAATAGTTTCTTTAATTGTCTCGCTTCTCTCGGCTCTTGACGTGGTTGCCTAAGAAATACCTCTATAAGAGTGGCTCTAATCTGAGAGAAGGAGAAAAACTCATTTTCAACGAGATAATGATGATGATAGCGTTGATGAACGAATATAAATTATTCCTCTTTCGAGCTTTTAGAAAATTAATGAGAATGTAATTTACAATAATTGCAGATCCCAGTCAAGCGGTAAATAGCAATCACATGGACAGCATTTCGGAGGGTTTGTCCGAGCCAGAGACAAAAACTTTTTACGAAAATTTGCCCTTCCACGGGATTCAGTCGCCGCCGAATAAGGTAAACTTCTTCTCTCTTTCTCTCTTTCACGTCTTCGTCACACAACATCGCGCGTACGTATTATTCTGCACGGCTTTTTTCTTTTTTGCTCTTTTTCGCAAGATATACTGTAATGTATACATTAAATTTTGTACATTGTGTGATATGGAGTGTGCACGTGTTTTGTTTAATTTACGATACGACTTTGTGTCTTGTTTTTAGGAGACTATGCGTGCTACCTTTAAAAAATTATGGGCGGCATAATTCATACCGACCCTTTTTTAAATATCCTAATATAATACAAAGAGTACTCAGAGTCAAGTGTATGATCCTAGCTCGTCTTCGGTCTGGGAACCTATTGTATGGTTAATCTGTATAAAGTATACAGGGATGTAGCTAAAAGTCGATTTCCCTCTTTAGCCTTGTGAATGCTACAGACTTTTATTCCCTTTTTTCTTCGTAAATTGACTTTGATTATGAATCTGGTTTTAAAGTCTGCAAGCTAAGTACTATAGTAAAGGCATTATTTAGAGGTGAGAAATGTATTTTTTCAAAGATTTACGCGAAAGAAAAATCCGGAAACGCGAACTAGCGGCTAAAAATTGATCAACGTTCTCAACCATCAATATCGGCGGATTTTCGGGGTGATTTTTCCGAGTATTAAGCTGAGTGCAAAAAAAAAATTTAACGACGTTATCCATGAAAAATTTTAAAATCGAGTGAAGTAAAACTGATATAAGCGAGCGCGAGCTGGTTAGGAACAGTGAAAATATGAACTATACGATATCAGAGCGATTGAAAGTGAGGCTCAAGGTGGGCGAAAAAATTGCTGGCGCACGAGCAAAGATGGAGACAATCAGCTCGGAAAAGCAGATCTAAACTGCGTGAATGTACGCGCCGAGCAGAGTACATGTTATACTGTATGCTATGCCTATACTATGGCCACTTTCAGTTCAACGATCGTTCGACAATTCGAGTTAACGCCCCACATAAGTTCTAGGCGCGCGTTCTACTCGCGACTCGTTCAATCCTTGGAGGGGGCAAGCGCGCAAAAAAAAAGTTGAAGAAAATCCTGAAAACTCGGCGCGCCAGTACGTGTGTGTGTGTGTTACTGTGTGCGTGTGTGCGAGCCGTAGCGGCTGTTCTCGCTCGCTCTCGCTTGGTCTTTCTTTCTCTAGGTATATAAGTCCTCGAGACTGCGCTCAGTCGTAAAAGGTCTCGATTACCAACTGGCATTTATACTTGGCTCACTGCTGTATATAGAAAGAGTACATGTACTTTAACCCACACCCACGCTGATACACACACGCTCGCACGTACGGAGCGCAGCGGGCTTGGTGTGTGCTTCTCGAGGAAAAGAAAAAAAAGCAGCTGTGCTCGACGAGCGAGGATCGATTTCAGTTCAGAAAGAGAAAGAATGAGAGAACGAATGAGGGACTGAGTACTTTTGCTACTATATACATACATAAAAATATGTTGGATTTTTAGCTAAGTGGCTTCACTCAACCTGCCTAGTACACTTAACTGCAAATCTCATCTAAATGTCGACTACCTCGTAGTTTTACCCCTTTCTTCTTACTCCTATAAGTTCACGTATACAAGTGCCTCGTCTGTGCATACCCACACTCACACGCGCGCGCTTATGGACATTTTTTTAAACCCCCAAGACTTATATTTTTCGTGATACTAGGGGGAAAATTTTTTCTAGCGCTTTCTCTTCTCCTTATAATTCTCGTCTTTTTCTGTCTCATTTTTAGCTGTAAAACATGTAAAATGTTGGAGTTTTATGCGGAACTTGTGCTAAAGTCCTTTTAATTTTGAGAAACTTGCTGAAAACTTTTTTGCCGAAACCATTGTGAAGCCCGACTACGTTGTATCATTCAACTTTTATATATACATATTCAAATCGAATATGTACCTTTTATGTAACTTATATACGTATGCACTTGAATCTACAAAGATGAACGTATTTTTCATGCGCCATCTTCATTAGCTACTCACATTATATATCCTTTTGAAAACGATTTAATTTTATCACTCGCGAAATAATTCATCTCTATCTATGACTGGTTAAGAATTCATCTCATTATATTTATTGTTGGAAAGTTTGTCCTCATAAAAAATGTTATTTATTCTAGTGTAAATCATCGAGCGTCTCTTTCGCGGACAAAAGAGTCACAATAATAATCGAGCATCAACTTTGTAATGAAAAAAAAAAATAAAAAATAAAAAATGAAAAGAAGAAAAGGAAAAACTCCAATCACGTTGCTCGCGCATTTGCAATCCATCGACAAGACAATCCCTGCGCCTCCACCTCATATATAATCCTTTTCCTCTCTTCAGTACTACACTCGTAAGCGCGTCTACTGTGAATAAAATCCCTTCGCCCATGCCTCGACGGGTGGTTCTTTAATTCGGTGCGCGCAGGGGAGTCATGATAAACGAGGGTCGGTCGTCGTCGACGTATAATACACATATCCCATGCCATGTACACATACAGAGCATTGGAATCTCTCTCTCTCTCTCTCTCTCTCTCTCTCTCTCTTTCTCTTTCGCTCGCTCGCTCGCTGTTGCCTACATGTATAGCAACACTCAGACGTTCTTCTTCCGCACGCAACACTGCGAATCCACGCAGGGTATAGCATGTATACGCGGGGTGCGGCCTGCTCAGCGATCTTTTTTTTTCATTCTTTCAGTCTTACTTCAATTAGTGGGATATCGCATTGTTTTTCTCCCACTTAAGCGCTCGAGTAGTAGTACACGCGGAAGCTAATTGAAGGGCTCTGTGCCGCACCCAAGCATTGATAAGGTTATAAACATATGCATCTATATAGACAGGCAGCTTGCGCATGTACGTATACATGAGCAAGCGTGTTATGCATATGCAGGGTTTATACAAATTAACCTTGCACGTACAGAAAGAGATCTTTTTCTTTATGTGACGTGATGGATGGATTTTAATTCGTTACTGTTACCGCTTCGGCATATGCCGTTATTTCAATTATGTATATGTATCCAAAAAAATGAAAAATTGTGCCCTTTCTTTAAATTCGTTTTAGGCACGAACATATTGTTTCAAGAATCTGGAACTGAATGAGACAATTAGAAAAAAGGTCTACTCTGCATTTTTACTTCAACTTTTTTTCTCCTATTGTAAGAGGAAAAAATCGATAATCCAAGTCTTTGCATTTTTTACCGCATAAAATACGGATCGAGAAAAATAATTGATTGATAGTTCATTGATTAAATCTTTAGGGCACAGTAGCATCAGGTTTACTGAGAAAATATACATAAGAAAGTTTCGAGCTTTATTTTATTCTATTTAAACAATATCATAAAAAAACAAAAAGCTGAAAACTTATTACACGTTTTGGCCTTTTTTTTATTCTTCATTCAAAAACCCTAACAACGGAGAGGTAAAAGAAAAAACTTTTAGCTCGGCATATTATATATGCTTTTACACTCGAAAAGAGGATAGGGTAGGAGCTGGGAGTTTGAGAGTTTATGAAAACGACGTTTAAAATCGATTAGTGGCACTAATTACTATTTCAACTTAATTAGGTAGAATAAAAAAAGTCGATGCTCGCAAAGACGTGATAAATCTACCAAAGATTTGTCACATTTACGGACACCTGCTTAATTGCTTCATTTTTTATGCGCGTACGTATTACCGAACTCTGTGGACTTTACGTTAATACAATTTTCAATACCTGCGTGGGTGAATGTGCAGAGTAAAACCGTGGCCTGCACCTTATTCAAAAGTCTCGAGTGTATACAAGGTAGCTTGGTACGCTTGTGCAGATCTTCAGCTGCAAAAGTGTAGAAGAAGCAGTAGCAGAGATGGAGAGGAAGAAAGAGAGATAGACAGTTGAGAGGGCAGTTGCAACATATGGGTATATATACACGGGGGTCATGCAGTGTCGGGTACTTCATTCGGATGCCAGAACACTAGTCGCTCAAGCGAGTAGCTTTAAACCACGGAAGAACGCAGCGCAGGTATAACGTACGCAGCGTATAGCCTCATGACATAGCCCTCAGGGAACACTTCTTTTTCTTTTTCTCCCCCTCATTCTCACTCCTCTGTGTCACCCCGCTCTCATCTACCTCCTTCTCCACCTCCTCTCGGCTTTTTTTTTCTCTGTCGCAACTCTTTTAACTAACCATCTACTGCTGTGTTGCGCACCCATTTTCGCATAGCTTTTTTTCATCACTTCATATATTGTAAGCAACGGTTAGTGCTGAAATGTTTTTTTCCCATCCGGCAAACGCCATCTATATGTGTGTTTGGTTTTTCTAAGCGACTTGACCTACATTCCGTTCGACGCGCTTCGATGATTTTTTGAAATGCTGCCGTAACGTAGTTAATTTAGATGTTCCGCCCTGACAGGGTGCGAGCAAACGCGAAGCCAGGCCAGAGGCATGAAATTTTTTTCGGCATGAATTAGGCCAGGAATCTATCGTGATTACTCGCGAGAAAAGAGCAAGATTAATGGGAAAATTTCGTGACTATGATATGAATGGGATACCGCAACCTCCGTACGATTCTTCATCTTTCTCTCACTTTCTACTTCCTTTCTCTCTGGGTATCCTCTTTTTTCGCGCGCGAACACATGGTGGTGCCGTTGCAGAGACTCTGCGCACCAAATTTACCGGATAAATCTGTCGAGCTAGAAATTTCATTATTTTTTTTTCACGCGTTCGCATCGTCCAACGCTATAAACGGGCTTATATAGAGAAAAATATGCTGCGAAGCGTACATATTTTTCCTCGAAACCTTTATCATCATCCAGTATTAGTGGAAATTTTTGAATTCAATAATTAGGTGACTGGAGAGGCAGGACGTCAATATTTCAGAAAAGCTTTTACACTTGGCCAAGTTCGTTAATAATTAGTTAAATAACAATAAAATAGTCGAGCCTCATTTAAAGAGTCAATTATCTCGCGGCCGAGTGCATGATGAATATTCTGAATTCACATGGTCTGGGCACATGAGTAGCGTAATTAAAGTTTATTTTTCGAAACTAAAAAGAATCATCTAGTCCGTTGGAGACCCGATTTATTGCCTTAACAGACGAGAAATTTCAAATATCAAATGCCTCTTTCCAACTAGTGAAGCAAACGGTCTCGAGAATAGAATTTTAGCTCGTTCTTATTTAAGGCACTTGTATACGTTTTCTTCTCCACGTATACAGGCACACATACACATATATTCGTACACACCGACGTCCAAAGCCAATCTTCATTGTTCGAACCATTGAAACGGGTAGACATTTTCGTGGCGGTCACCGTCGCGTCTTTGTATTTGTGTATACATATATAGAACCGTAGGAAAGACATGGAAACTCGACTGCAGTCTATATTCTCGAGACTAGTCGCACACAAAGCCAAGCAACCAGATTTTCACGAAGCAGCACATGAGCTATAGGTCAAACGTAGGATGGGTAAATCCTATGAAGTCGCGTCAAAGCACACAATGGAATAAGCAGTGGAAAATAGAAACAAGAATTAAGCCCAGTCACAGAATAAATCCTGCTGCATTGCACAGGCACTGCACCCCAATCTCTCTGCCTCTCTCTCTCTCTCTCTCTCTCTCTCTTTCTCTCCTCTCACGCTGGTCAAAGTTTTGAAAATTATTTTCCTCTTTTGCGCTGCTTGTATTGTATATAGTGCCTAACAAACAAATCCCACTATACATGTGAAAAGCTGGTTAGAATTTCCATCGTGTAATTCTTCGACTGCTAATATCTCATCTTTGCCAACAGCGTATGTAAATAAAAGCTCTAAAAATATAAAACGATCAAGTTAGTTGTTTTAATTGCTAACTTTTCTTGAAATTTGGCTTTTTTTACCTCCACTGGAAAAAAAGTTAAAGTCTCATTGTATCCGCTCATCTATTCATTCAACTATCAAATCCATAAAAGTTGATGTATTTTTCAACGGCATCCATACGTGAATAAAACGTGCGGAGCTTGCACGTAGCGACGCGATTGACAATTTCACTGCGGGAGGAAAGCACATTTATTTCCTATAAGTAAAAGACTCGTCTATCTATTTCTAAACGCAAATGTACGCCTGGTTTTTTCAGCCAAACCGAACGCAGCTCCATAGAAAACACACAGAGACAGACGCGAGCGCGTACGTGTGAACACGTACAGAGATTCGATCGCTCGGCTCACTCGCTGTGTGCAGCTACTTTCGCGTATTCATGCGCGTAGAATTGCACTTTCGCTCGCGCTTGGCACCGCAGACTGAGAGAGATGACGACGTTGTCGATGCCGTGTTCGCGCGCGTTATATACCTACCGACGAATTCATCTCTTTCTCGGCTGCGTCGTGCATACAAGAGGCTGCAGACACATCATAGGTATACATCCTCGGTTCCTAGATGCTTCCCCATGGGAATTCGCACAAATACACATTCGTGCTACTCGTCATTCTTCTTCTGCATTATATTGTATATACACATTCGTTCCCGGGCGTGCGTGCGTGTGCGAAATAACTCGAATGTAGAAACAAGCGCAGATTGCCCCAGCTTTGACAGAAATGCATAACAAGCAATATCGGCCTCTGTGTCTGTGTATGTGTGTATGTGTGTACGTGTGCGCCTCTAGCAACAGTGCGAGAGGCGCCCTGTTAACTCCGTACCCGCCACCCTATAGCTTTGCGCGTCGCGTCTCGGCTCTGAACTGCTCCCCATCTGGCTATATATTTTATACTACTATATACGTACGCGCTGTACATACACATTGACTCTAGTGAGTACATAAGAGGCAAGTTTGTACACGCCTACTTTCTACGCGACATACATATTGAAAAATATGAATATTATGTAAAAAATATTGAAAAACTAAGGAATATAGTAATATGTGGGTACGCGCATTACCTACCAAAAGCAAGGCACAAAGTATTTACGAGTTTTTTTTTCATAGCTTTATATGTATGTATTGCATGCTTTTAATGTGTTCTTGTGCGTTATGCTTGCAATTTTGAATTCAAGTTATGCGCCAATTGTGAAAGGATTACACAGGTACTGTATAGTAGATTAAGGCTTTTCCAGTTCGCCTCAAACCTGCTGCGCCCTCGTAATATTAAAAATAGTAAAAATTTATTGTACGTAATATCACCCCTTGTCTAATGATGCTCATAGTAGAGAAAAGCTCGAGCCAATCGCAATAATAGCCGCTTAAAACAAAAAACTCTTACTTTACAAAAAGCCTATCTCCTTTTTTTCAAGCTGAATGCTTAAAAAGAATTGCTTTTTCTGTGCGTCGAGACATTCCCTTAAAAAACTCGCAGTGCTTACAACGATCGCGCCACTTTTTCATCCCCGCGTATAAACGCACAAATGCGTGGAATGCCATTACGATCGCGACTGTTTTCTTTTTCTCCCCTGGTCTCTTCTCTCTGAATTTGCGTAGTAAACGTGTGTAAGCGAACCGTGAGCATATATTCGATCCAATTAATTGTTGTTTTTTTTTCTGGTCCAAACTCGACGCTTTTGTCACGAGGTACGTTACGGCTATGCATCCACACTGGAGCCTGCGAAATGGTAATGCACATTCGTGTTTATCATTCCGCGGTTGAGTGCTTTTTTTTTATTTATTTTACCGAATGCGAGGGATGATACGCGCAAATTCTCGTCGATCGTTGTTTATTCCGCTGTTTTTCAATACGAAAATAACTCAATTCACAACCTTTTGGTACTTCAATGACTATGTGGCTCGAAAGTCAAAGGATTAATTTCTTTTTCTCTTAAAATGTCGGAACTTATAACTAATAATCTCGAGCAATGCGGGACCTTTTCATTGAACACGCCACTTGCATGAGAGGTGCGTGCGTGATCAGTAAGACCATATTACGAGGCAGCCAAGCAAATACTTTGCCTATATAAATCGTGTTTTCAACAAAATCAGGCCGAAACTTCGTCGACCGAACTACTGGCGAAAGTTGCGCAAAATCACATACACACCCTCCAACTAAATATCTATTATATTATACGGCAAGGCTCGAGCTTTGGAAAATTCATCGCGCCCTACTTAGCCTGCCCAGGAGCATCGATACTACGTGAGAAGTTAACTCGCGTGCGTGACTAGCTAATTAATCGCGCGATAGCACGAGTATGTGTGGGTGCTGTATGTATTTTATAATATCGAATTTCCGCGCGATATGTGTTGAAAGTTCGTTTTGGGCTCGTCAGAATATTTCAGTCGTGCATGCGAGCTCCAGCCAAGTTTGGCTCGAATTGACAGAATTCTTGGCTTTGGGGCGTTCACATAAGGACCTTCAACTTTAGCTCAGCAATGCTCTGAAAAGCAAGAAAAAGTCGTTAAACTTATAAGTCGCTCGATGGAAAGTTTTTTGTCGCGTTCGAATTACAAGATTCAATCGATACGCTCGGTGTTGGGTACTTTTAAAACTAGCGATCGTCAAGTAAATCGTCCAGATATCTCGATGCGCTGAAATACAACAGGGGACAATTGCAGGTGTCGTTGCAGCTCTCGTCTCTGCCGTTTTTGTCGCATCACAGCTGTAGCGCGTTCGCCCTGCACTCGGAGACGACCTTGCTGAGCTTGTCGACTTCGGCGTGCTCCTCGCGAGCCGCCAGCATCTGCGGCGGGGCCAGCAGCGGCTACGAATCCTCGACGGTGGCAGCTGCGGCGGCTGCGGCGGCGGCGGCTGCGGCTCTGGCGCGGAGCCACCTGGGCCCTCATCTGAGCGAGCACAACATGCCTCGAGGCAACTCACCCGAGCCCCGCTACAACAGCCTGAAGCCTCGCCGAAGAAAAGAGCTTCACCAGCAGCAGCACCAGCGCCACCAGCAGTTCTACTCGCTGAGGCTCTGCCGCAAGCATCAGGGCCGGCCTCGGCTCGAGCGCAATTACCAACTCTACGCCATACCGATCTACCGTTCGGGCTCGTGTCCCCACGGGAAAAGCCTCAGCGCCACGAGTAGTCTGAATACTAGTCTCGATTGTATCACCCCGACCTCGACGCTCTCGCTCAAGTCGTCGAGCAGCCACCGCAACGTTAAGCTGGCCATAGAGGCGCCGTCTGCGGACAGCGCGGCCAGGAGGGATCGGGAATTGCAGCAAACGCCTCCGCCGGTTCCGGAGCCCCGACGCACAAAGAACACCGACCCGAAGGAGCACACCTACCAGAACGTACCGTCGCCCGTGTACCCCTCCAATCAGGACATTCCCGCGGAAATAAAGGTTTGTAGTCGAGCGATCCTGATTCGGAAGGTAGCGGCTCTCCAGCCGAGACTACATGAGCAGCTTGGCATTCCGACACTTGAAACTATTCGGCACTTTCTCTTGCCGCGTCCTGCGAGCTTTACCTCGAGTACGCGTGCCTGATAGCTACGACGTGAAATTAATAGTGGCGCGCATCTGCTTTACTTTACCGCGCGTTACTCCGCTGATTCCCTATATTTGCTCGTATTGCCGGATGGAAAAGCGTATATCACGGTTCGTTTCGGAGGCGACACGACAAAAGTCGAGGAATATTTCGAGATTGTCGACTGTGTCTCTCTTGTTGCTAAGGAGCATACTGAGCTCGCGGCTTACGTTCGCTCGAGTGTTCGGGCTCGTATAAGCCGCGAGCTATAACAACGTGCGTCGTGCGAGCTACGCTATACCCTACCAACATATTATAATATATAGCTTGGCTTTCAGCGCGGGCGAAGCTGTAATAATGGAACTGCTTCGGCTCACATATATGATAGGTGCACCGATACGAGCTCGTGACTCGTTGCTTTATCACTCGCTTGATACGTGCCTGCGTACGCGGCGTACACGTACACGTATATATATTGTGCGCGAGACGCAGCTTCGTTCGGATTATGTCGAGCGCGAATGGCAATTTCAGTACGTATACATGTAGCGTGGGTGTGTGCGGGGCGACCTCGTCGAACTCGTCGCGCTCGCTAGCGTCCGTCAACTGCATCATCCCGTGACCCCGCACAAAAGTTGGTTCATATACGTGCGCGCTCTCGCATTGACCAGAATGAAAAAGCGAACTCGCACCCACCGAGTTTTACTACTATTTTTGCACTTGCACTTTATACATCGAGCAATTCTTTGCCAACGCCTTGCCATAATTTTATTTTCATCTTCGCCGCTCGTTTTATCGTATACCTTTCCCTCAAAGAGCCAAAACGAAATGGTAAAATAGTTCATGACGCATTTTCGTGTTTTGATACGAGGAATATGAAATGAAACGCTTCATAATACCAGGCATTCTGTACTCGAGGGGAGCAAGAGAAGTCGATAATTTATGTTACAAGTGTCGGAGCTGGCAGTTTTTTACAGTGTAATGTCTCTGCGTCTAATATTTTTTCTCACCTTCTCTCTCATTCTTCTCATGCTATATAAAATCCGATTGGCAAGATATACATTGTATTACGAAATCTAATTTCTCGTGTCTCTTCATCAGGATATACTTTTATAATTGCTAAACTTTTTGCACTCGGTCGAACATGCGTATACGATGCACGTCTCGATGTGCGAACTCGCATTCGTTACGATTATACATATGGGCGACCGATTCACGTCAACTTTTTGAACCGCGTGCGTGGTCGCAGTGTTATTTGAAGAGTCGCATAGTGCGCGCAGAGTACTCGCGAGTGCATACTCGATATCAAAATGAAATGTTTACAGGCCGAGCTTGTTTCCGCCCCCAGAGCGAATAACATGAATACATGTATAGATTTCACTTTATCTCTTCTTTCTCTCACTACATACGTATCGAATCTTTTTTATAATTATATATACACACTCACGTGTGCATACCAGTGCAAGTTTACATTCGATACTGTAACGAACGCGCTTGCGTGCATATATCGAGGAAAAATCTGAACTGTGCCGAGGATTATATTTTGCGCCATAGCGTACGCACCTTACCGTGTACGTATCCGCTCGTTTCTCCGGCACACATTCTAGCTAGCACAGATACATCTTCTGATAAGTACGGAATATTTGCTTTATAAAGTTTTTTCCAGCTAGATCGCGTGCAAAACAAAGCATTTTTTCACTTTTGTTTGTGCTATGATTTTTCCTCACAAGCGCAACTTGTTCCTCTTTTTATTCGCCGCATTTCTCTCTCTCTCTTTTTTTTCTTTCGATATTTGTTTATACTAGAAGCTCGGCGAAAAATCTCGGCCCGGCAGTGTGCAGAGTCGAGCTGAAGCTCGCGATGCTAACTGTCGAAACAAAGGCATTCATCAGTGTTTCCAGCGTGCGCGTGTATACACCGACGTGGCCGCTCCTGATGCTTTTTTGCCACTCTATACCCTTGCCTTGGTAACTTGCAAACTTTTGAAACCAGATATATCTTGTTTCGAAAAACTCTGCCTTACTCTTTCTCTCTAGCTCTCTTCTTTTTTTCTCATTCTGTCCATTTCTACGTGCAAACCATCTGAAAATTCGTTGCAGACTTATTAGTTTCGATAAATAGACATGTTGGGCGCAACCGATCTATCTTCCAACCTGAATTTTTAAAGCTTCGCACGCCAATGCAAGTTTACACAATCTAAATAATATCGATCAATGTTTGTTAATAATTTAGATGTAGCTCGGGAGGCGTCACGAGCTCAACTAATGCATTCCACGTGCACCCTGTCTGCCAGACAAAAGAAGGCCACATTTGCCTCGAAACGAGCATAAACCAAAAATAATATCCGTAGATGTTTGACTACGCAAACGCTCGGAGTATGTAATATATACAGTATCAGATGTACGCAAAAGCTCACGCATGTTCCATTAATATAAAGCACGTGTGAACTGCTAGCGGCCTATTGTATTTAGTTGCGGATGTCGCCGTATCGAGCACTGCAGAGCTTTCATATACGCGAGCAAGGCTTTGCGTGCGCCAAGATCTACAGCTTGTAAATATACCGTCAGACTACAGCTACTGAAGCATCAAGTAAGTTTACTCGTATCATTTATTTTACTTATTCTTTCTTCGTATATCAACCAACACACACGTTATTATATTTATGAACATGTAAACGAAAGTATAAAAGTTATATTTTTATATTATTATCACGAATAGCTGTAATTCGTATCTGTAGACTTGTATACATAAAGCTTGTAGATATCGAGTATGGCTGAGCGTAACTCATGTCGCATGCTTAGATACAATCAACGTTTTATAGAAAAGCAACATTTATTATGTATTCGTTCAACTGCGTATTGTCTCTGTGTATCACAAACTTACATCATTATTGATTGATGTATTTATGCAACAGTAGTAACTTTGATTGTTTTAGTGGTCTTTACAACTTCCACACGGTAAAAGTTTAATAAATATGTGAGCCAAGAGAAAATAAAAGTCTCAAGCTTTACGGCGAAAAAAAATTTTTTTTTGTATCGACGCCTCCTAGTGGCATAATGTTGCTTTGAAACTTGATTTTGCATATAGTGCAACTTCGTCACTCGATTCAACATGATGCTGCTTCGGCGTTCTATTCAGCAGCAAAATTAATCAATGATACAACATCGAACTACGCAGTTTTTGGAAGTAGTATATATCGATGCACGATATATCGTAGACTTCGATTAAATCACGCCCAAATAAGTTACAGTAGCTGAATAGAGTGCCGAAGCAGCATCATGTTGAATCGAGCGTCGAAACTGCACCATGCCTTTGCGAGCTTTGAAGTAAAATTATACCGCTAGGAAGCATCGACATATGCTCAATATTTTTAATTAAAGAAACTGCGGGGCCTATTGATTTTACAAGATTCTCAACCTTGAGACAAAATAGAAATAAATTATTGCACATTTCTTAATACTTAAAAATGTTTAATATACGTGCAAGTATAAATGCTCACTTCTATAAGCAGTGGATAATTAATTTAGTTTTCTTTGGATTATCGCGTACGGTAACAGGATGAAAAATAATTCAAAACTATCCATGGGGACGCGTGAACAAGGGTATAACTTACTATCAGTGCAGGCACCAATTTCGTTTGATGATATTCCCACTATATACCAAAGCCGCAGCGCAATCCTATCGTATCGTCACATCTACGCTATACATGAATCCCAAATTCGAGTCTCTCCCTTCCATCTCGCTGATTTCCTCGTCCGCGCGTAAAAGCGCACGACCCATCCCTGCAACTAACGAATTTCTTCGGCACTAATGAGTCTTTTGTAAAAATAACAAAGCGCGGCTTCGCATCGCATTACTAACCCCCGGTCCGACGTTTGGTATTGCTTTACAGACGGCCACTATATACGACTACAAAGATCATTATCAGCAGCAGCAGCTTCACCAGCATCAGCAGCAGCAGCAGCAGCAGCAGCAACCCCAAGAACTGCATCAGTACGGATACTCGCTGGCGAGTAACAGTTCCAGTCAGATCACATTGCCGCTCACTCGGAGCCTGTACCACTCGAGTTCGGCGGTCAGTCCTCTGCAGAACTCGTACGTGCACAATAATGCCAATAGCCGACTGTCGCTGAGCAATCATTCGCCGCAAGAGCAGCAGACGGCCCAGCCGCAGCATCTCTCGCACCATCATCTGTCGAACACGAGCACGCTGCCCTTCTCGCTGTTGCAGCAGCAGCACATGCAGCAAAACTCGAATTCGAACGATCCACAGCAGCAGCATCACGACGCGATGCCCGACCTGGCGACGTACGACAGGCAGGCCTCGCGACGCCACTACAGGCGAAAGCAGCGCAGCAAGCACGAGCGCAACAAAAAGCAGCACCAGCAGAGGCTGACCAACGAGACGAGCTTCGAGCGCGCCCAGCAGCTGGGCATGCCCGAGAGCCACAAGATCTCGTACCCGCACTACTACGAGGACACGTGCACGACGACGACGACGGCCAGCAACGGCTTCATCTGCGACAACCTCGACCCTCGCTACGACTGCGCCACGCTCTCCGACAACGAGTACGTGCCGGCCCAGCAGGCTCAGCCTCAACAACAGTACAATAGCCTCACGGCCACTCGGCCTAACAAGTCCTCATCCAAGAGGTACTCCTTCTCGTTCTCCGAGCTTAAAATTGCCGAGCTGCACTTCCGTGACGTCGGTCAGGAGATCAATGTCTGACAAGCATGAGAAAGGTATTTTAGAGAGCAAATTTCGCGTCGCCAAAAAGCCCCCCCCCGTAGCGCAACGAAAACCGAAAAATTACGTTTCGCCCCTTCTGTCCAATTCGTCGTAGGATCGCGTAGAGCTGTCGAGGTTTGTACGTGTGCACTCGAACTTTTTCATTCATACTTTTGGTTTGCGAGTCTAACTGCGCAATTTAACGAATAATTTTGTCCATGTAATCGCTATAATTCAGTTAAATGAAGTTTTTTTTCGTAGGCTCCGGTTACGTTGAAAGATATTTACGTTTATTGCAGTGATTAAAGGGCCTTATAACATGTATATTGTAGCTACGTGGAATCCACACAACAAGTTAGTAATTGTTCAATCAAGTTTTCATTTTTCTTTGTGTTAACGTGCTCGTTGCGTTTAAAAACTCGTGATGTAACATTAAATATTTAACTGAATTTTAAATCAACTACTTTCGACGTCATTTTCTAATTAATGGAAATTCAGCGCGAGTAACAACTATTCATAATTTTTGAAAGAATACAAATGGTAAGTGGCAACACGCATTTAAAAAAAAACATGTAAACTTAATCATTTTAAATGGAATTTGTCCTATAGCCAAAACGACAAGAGCTTTCTGGTGCAACGTTTTTCTTTTACGATTCAACAGACATGAGAGATGAGATTATCTATGCAATACAATTTTATTCGAAACTTTTTTATGTCACTCACACTGGTTACAGTTTTGCATTACATTTAAACGTATGCATACTGATGCAACTGCAATTGCAGCTATAAAGTTTAATTAAAACTTCAAAACTCGAATCAGAACGAAACAATTTCGTCTCTCTCTTCCTTGTTTTCTCGTATTGCCGCATGGGTGTAAACATAAAACGGGCTCGCACGCGATAAATATTGGCTAGTCGTGAGTATGTATCGATTGTGTCATATAAGCGGTGTTGAATCAAAAATTAAAGGTAGTAACGAAATACATGCTTTTATGAAACTTGAACTCGAAGGCGAAAGTAACATCTTATCTTTCGAGTAGGCATTCATTTTAACCTGGCTTAAACATAGTGAAAACTCCCATTAGTGGACAATGACCCAACCGAGGAGTTTGTCCAGAAATACGAGTTGACTAAAAAGTAAATATAAAATTGATCAATTCATAATCAATTACAAATAATCCCTAATAATAAAAAAAAAATAATATCATGAATTTTTTCATTTTACAGAACTTTTTTCGGTATGTGAATCAAAATTTTATTAAGCGTACGGAGTCTAAAATTGCTGAAAAATGCTTCATTTTCCATTAAATCTTTTTAAGTGTCCGTCGACCGTAGTGTTTAATGTTAAGAGTCTCGTCTCATGAAAAAGAAAGTATTTTTACCTTTCCTGCATAAGATATGTCCGCTACTGGGAAGTGTCCACTTTTGAGAGGCGTTCATTAAGCGAGTTTTTACCGTATCCAGCAAAAGTAATTTTTATTGAAAAAAAGGTTGATTGAGAAAAATTGTGAGTCGTTATTTCGTCGTTTATCAGATGCATAGAGGCTCGTTTGTTATGCGCATATAATAAGATACTTGCTTGTGGCGTGCGCGACGAATTTATTCTCTAGGATAAGTATACATATAGCTGCTTACATGCCTTACGGGATATAGAGGACTATAGGACTATGCTCATGCGATTTTCAGTCCGGGTTCGTGTATAGATACAGGGACGCGCATAACTTTGGATATACGTACATCAGCCGCCGACACTTGCTTTAGTGGAGCGCGCACTTCTATATATTCTCGTGCCAGAAAGCTGGAGCACATCCTACAGCTCCCTATACCGGTCTAACGTCACTTGCTTCGCCATACCTCTACGTACACGTATACGCGTGCGCGAGAACGAGCTCTGGCTTAAATTATGAATATCTGCTCCTGCTACCTTATCTGTGGAGGGCAACTTACATGCTCACACCGACAGACACATGCACACACGCACGCACACAATAATATAGCAAACGAGCACGAGTACTGGGCTGGGTTCTGCATATGCAGCTCGCGCGATGCCGTTTTTGCAAGTTTTTTCTCGTCTCGCATTACTAGAAAATGTACGAAAAAGCAGCAATACGATGCACGAATTAACATATAAATTTCTCTGACACGTCGACATTGTGCATTATACATGTGCAGCCACGTGGCCGCAGAAGGAAAGGGAACTTCCAAGAGCTTTATTCACACATAATTGATAATAGGAAGCTTTACTCAAATTGCTGCCACGCATAAATGTGGACAAGGCGACTAACGGTTTTCGAGGTAGACCCTAATCGATCAAGCGCAAGCTTTGACGTGGCTACGAAGCTTTGACTATAAAGTGACGCGCGGAAAACCAGACCCCCTGCCGCGCTTCTCGCGCAGATACCCTCCCGTCCCCCGTTGCGGCCCTCGTGCACATAATGAAAGCTCTACGGCGTATTTATGATTATATTGACACGTACGTATGTATAATATTATTCACCTCATCGTTATAAATGTAGCTTTGCGAGCGATAACAAGTGTGAGTTTCGTGTGCGCGTGTTTACTAAAATTAATTTTCATCATTTACTTATTACGTTTACTGTTTTATTTTACTCCTACAAAATGATTTATATTTTGCTTTGTGTTTGAATTTCATTACTTCATATGATTGTTCATCTGTATTTATTACAAATTTTAGTATATGATTTTATTAAATTTGATTTAAAAAAGTAAGTACTTGATTATATTTTATTTATGCTTTTAAATTATCGAATCATGTATCGCAATTATTTTGAATGAAAATTTTACTTGAGAGTGCATATCATAGTCACGAGAAGAAGCAGCTCGGTTCAGAAAAATTTATTTCTCATAACAAATATAAAAATCGTCATGCCATAATATATTTTGAAATTTGTATGAACAATCACATGAACAAAATTCAAAATGGAAAGTTCGAAACAAAAGTAACAAAGTTGGGTGCTTATTAATTTTAACTTAACATATTTCTTTTGTTCCATCCCTTTGTTACATGTGCCGTCATTATTGTGTTAATCCATAATCATCGTCATCCTTTCAAACGACGTAGCCGTTCAAGCCGGAGTTCTCCGATTTGGACTACGCCGACGTAGATTATCGCTCTTACGGGCCGATAAATTACAAGGCGGCCAGCATTGCGCTACTTCAGAGTAGACAGCATCAACAACAGCAGCAGCAGCGAAAGCCTCAAATGTACGGCCAATCCGATGACAGCGAAGAATTACTCTAAACACCGGAAACTATGTGCATTTTTAAGAATAAACAAAAAACCATAACACTATAGAAAGTATAAATAATCGACCAAAGTGCCATCGTCACTCTTGAACGAAAAGCTATAATATTGGGGTTTGTGCGTGCAAATACAGGCTCGTAATCAAGTGAGTTTTATGATCTTGTTAGTAATAATAATTTTTAGTTTATCCTTATTGTTACGTTATAACCCAAAGATTATAAATTTGTTACAAGTTGGCAATATAGTAGTAGATATTTTTAGTTTTCTTATGACTTAATACTCAAAATATAAAAAGACTTGATTCAAAATAGTGATTTAATATTATAAAATGCTTGTCGACATATATTTAAAATGTTTTCTGCAATACCAATTCGAGAGATAAGTGCATTCAATCATAAAAGAAACTATCCGCTCTGAAATTCGTGAAGTATTCTCCTTTCTTCGCATCTTTTTTAAAATTAACATTTGCAAAAATAGCATTTTGTAAATAAACTAAATTCGGTCTACAAAATACAATAAAAACTTCAATTGTACGGATTTAGCCGTTAAAATGAATCAATCAGTTGCACGTATGGCTGAGCATTTATATGAAAAGGCGCAAATTTGAGTTGATAGGAAATAAATACCTACTCGGCTTTATAATCAGAGCGCCACACTCTCAGAACAGCTTAGCGAGTCAACGACTGAGCTCATCGGTCTGGCGAATATGACGCAATCTTGTTAATGCCTGCAATTGACATACTGTTTTAATGATAAACTTAGATAGATATTAGGTGAACACTCCGCAACAAAATTATCGCAACAACAATTTTCTTTGAAATTTTGTCAATTTTCCAACTCTTCTATCGCCATAAATTTTGATCATATCGAGACGATTTTTTTAGTTTTTTTTTTAAACTTTTTATAATTTAAGGCTATTTTTGCAGTTATTTTTTTCTGTAAGTATATTTTTTATAGATTTAATTCAATTTCGAATTATCAGTCGTGATTGAATAAAACACATTACATTGCCGAAAAAATAGATCGTTTAAACTTATACCTAAACAAGTTATTTTTTTCCAATGAAATGTACACCATCGAAAAGTATTCTTTTCGATGAGTAATATGAAAAAAATTTCTACGATTTTTTTTGTATCCTGCAAGCCGTTTTAAAGATAGCGTTTAAAGTACATAAAATGCCAGATCGTCAAACAAAAATCAAGTCTGCACAAATTGTTGCCTTGTTAGAGATATGATTAAGTCAGAACGTTGTTAGATGGATGAATGGTGACAATAACTCGCGTTTTTAAACGGTACCAACAAACAGCTGCCCTATACCGGCTCGGTTTACGATGCATTGCTCTACATATCCTTAAGCTTAAAAAAATTTTCCAAGGAAACTGAATAAAACTCGTTTTTATACGATCAAAATAAACGGAGATAGAAGAATTCGAAAATTTACAAAATTTTAATGAAAATTGTTGTTGTCATAATTTTATTGTGAAACCAATGCTTCAATTTTTCAAGAAATCCTTTTTTATGAAATTTCTCAATCAATTTTGAGTTATCTTGCGACCTGGGTTACAGATACGAGACTGATGTTGACGAAAAATCCTATTGAGAAGTACATTGATCACTCGTAGTTTTATGGTTGTTGTGCTGTTGAATGAATGAAAAAGGGTTACTTGCTATCGCGTGCACATCGAACCTTCAAGGCGAATTGATCATTTAAGTGCAATATGTATACTTGCTTCGATGATAGTTCTTAAATTTCATTGTTGTCCAGGTGCACTCATAGTGC